AGCTTGGAGAAGCTTCTCACAGGGGGCTGCCCCGATAGCTCCCTCCCCTGCCACCAAAAAACTCCACCACTCACCCAACCCAGGACAATGGCCACGCACAAAAAGAAGTTATTACTCATGAATTAGTAGTGTTAGTAATGATTACTGCAGATTCATCCGGCAAGGATTTTGTTTCGAGGAAAGGATGTGAGTTCCTAAGCAAATATACCCACCGCCGCACAGTCACAACTGCTTTTGATAGCCTGTGACAACATGATTGTGGGAAAGATGAGCCTGCTGCAAAGACACTCTCAAAAAAGGATGTGGGGAATGTGGTATTCAACAGAGGACACTGCTAACAACATGGAAATTCGGAAACTTGTTTGGAAGCAGCAGCGCTTAAGGAAAGACGGTGCAACCGAGAAGGGATGAGGAGATTCCTGCCTCCAGAAAGTGATCTAAGGCATTTAAAAAAAAAAAAAAAAAAAAAAAATCAGGCAGAATTCTGCAACTGAGTAATTCGCTGCAAATGTTCCTCCTCTTCTTGTTTCCTCTTGATGAGAACCTAGTTTATGGAAGAAATTTAGATCTTTTTTCCCTGTTGCATGCTGTGCTGTCCAAGTCTTCTGCGCCAGTCCTCGGTCATTTTCCGACATGAGGTTCCAAGTGCTTTTAGTCCCAATTTGTTTCTTTCTTTCATCAGAAAATTTAATCAGCATGCCTGTCCAAGGTAATGAGCGTCACGGGTAAAGGCTTGTGATCAGATTTAAGTTGTGCAGGTGAAGTCGTGGGAGAGCAGGCACTACTGACAGCTGGGACTGTATCTTCGTGAAGTGGGTTTGGAGATAAAAAAGCCCAAGCGTGAGTAGCGAAACGAATGGAAAGCCCCCCAGTAGTTGTCACAGAAGCTGGTTTTACCAGCAGAGCAGAAAAACAACTCTTCAAGGGATTTCAGAAGCACAAGGAACAAAACCAAAGGGCAATGCTGCAGGAAATGCCTGAGGTCCAGCAAACAAACTAATGTTATACACCAGGAATGTTTCATGTGGGATTTCCAACTTGTATAAAATTCCAGTGTGAAAAAGCACCTGCTCTCGTTTCTCCGGCATCCTTTGCCCCGCAGAGAGCTCGGCAGAGGGCAGCGGCTCTTCCCACCTCTCCACTGCCTCTTATCTTCCGGGAGATAGACTCAAGCCAAATTTTAATAGAAAACCATGCCAAAAGGGATTTTTGTGAGGGCACCTGTCTCTGTGGCAAGGTCAATTCAGCCTGTGGTGGTTTGGTTTTTTGTTTTTTTTTTTTTTGCTTTTGGGAAACCTATAGACAATCACACCTTTGGGAGCAACTTCTTTCAGTCTCTGAAGAAGGTCCCAAGAGTGAAGGCAAACTCAGCCTGCAGTGCTTGTCCTGGTAAGACCCAGCACAGGAGCACAAGCAGAGATGCAAGCAGAGGCAGAACCCGCTTTCCTTTCTGTGTGGGCACTTCTGTCTGCGGCTGCCAGTCAGTTACCATCTACATCAACCAGATTTTTTGTTAACTTGAAGGGATAATGGTCAAGACCAGTGACACTGCCACTCTTTGCCTTTCTTAGTAGATCCCTCTAGTTCTCTCCTTGAACTAACGCCACTTGCCAGCAGAGAAGTCCCAGGGTACTGTTTCAAAAAATAATGAAACGACTAAATCAACTCGGAAACCTTCAAGTACTTTAATCCAGGTTTTTAGCCGAGAACTGTTGTAACCTTACATTTTTCAAACCCGCAGTGGTACCTCATCGTTAGTTACTCATGAGCACACACTTCTGGAAACGGTGACTAACCCAAGAGTCTCATGCCCAGCTAAAACATCATCGCTGAGGAGAAGCAAACTTCCAGCCTTGCAGTGAAGTGCCCTTCTGCTCGAGAGAGCTATCTGCGACGGGGAAAGGCAGGTCCTTCCCTTCAACGGACCGGTGGATGTGCCGGTGCACAAGCGATGCTATAGGCTGCGTCAGGTATAGGACCATAAGGAAGAAGAGACTGAAAATGGCTTGATTAGGAATAAACCAACCCTACTGCCCTGGGAAGGGTATTAAGTCCCCTCCTCTATTCTAGGCTGAGTTTGGGTTAGCAGAGTAGCAAGGACGGCCCCACGCACGCCTTCTGCTCGCTTCCTCACCCCGCTCCAAAACCGGCGGTACTGGCTAGAGCCTGAAATAAGCTGTTGGGCTTAGCGGGAAGCCGCGTCTGATTTGTGCCGGTATCTCCCCCGGTTCTGAGGCACGGGATGCCACGGCGAGCGGGACGAGAGCTGCCCTCGGCGCCGCTGGGAAGAGGGCCACCAGGCAGCAAGGCGACGTGTCGCCTGGCCCGAGGCTGGGACGGGGTTTGGCGGTGCCAGCAGCAAGTGCTGTAACTCAGGTCCCCTGTGCCTTTGGAGACGAAATTGCCACCGCGTGGATAGCACTGTGATTCACAGGGTACTCACAAACATTAGAAGTGGGGTTTGTGGTTTTTTTTGTTTTTTTTTTTTTAAGGAACGCTCTTGCCTCCCGCTGTTAACAGCTCATAAACGTTTGCATAGCAGGGAAATTCCAGACGAGTGAGAGAAAGTTAATCTTCTGCCAATGTTCAAATAAGGCAAGTAGAATAACTACCGTGATTATTAGACACTTAGCTCTAACTCAGTGTAAAACATGCTAAGGGAGAAAGGGATTACTAAGTGCAGATGATGAATCTTGGGAAGATAAAGCAGCTCTCCAGAGAAATAAATTGCTGTAAACAGGCAGGGGCAAAACAGGTCTATCAAACATATCAAAAACCCGAAAATCCGATTACATGTGAACTACTCGGAAACACCCTCGCTTTGGCTGGAGGTCCTGCAGGGGGGTTACTTGCAATGCGAAAGCATTTCAACTAAAATCCTGTGCTTCCTGTAAGGACTTAGATAAAGCACAAATCTAACATACAATAAACTATTGATTAAATTACTGATCAAAGCATGAAAGAGTTATCAGCTACCAGTGTATCATCTCAGACTATCCCAGTGGAATTTTATTTTTTTTTTTTTTTTTTAAGTAGTTTATGCACCGACTGCCACCCCTGTTCAGAATGCTCTTCCATGTCAGTTTGGTCATATTCCACGTCCTTAGCAGAACAGACCGGTTTATAGAGACTGAAGCTGCAACAAAACCAGCTGAAGGTGGAAGCCGGTGTCCTGGTGCGGCTATTTATGACCATATAGAGCAAGATGCAACCGAAAACCCCAGCTGGTTTAGCAGCACAACATTGTCTTTGTGCTTCATATAACTGCACGTGGTGCATGCTCAGCGAGATCCAAGTCCAGGTTGTGTTTGCAAAGCAAGATCTTTATCTTGGCCCCGTCAGCAGATCAAGCTGAATTTCTTCACTGCAGTCATGCTGCAGCATGGAGAACACACCAAAGCAATTCAACAACCATCCCGACTGTTTACCTGCTGGGCTTCCCCAGCACTCAGGAAATCTTTCAATAATATCAGGTGGGTGCACTTTACTTCTAATGGTGAAAAAACCTGGCTGCAAAGCTCTTGCCCAAAACAGACTTTGGGAGCCACGCAGCTGCCTCTGTGTACCCCAAGTAACTGCTGTTACTGCTCTCAGAAAGCACTCTGAACGATTGAACTTTTCACTGCCAGTTTCAGAGAAATCCTCCCTGCTTTTTTGTGGGCATCACAGCATGTTCATACTTAAACATGGCAGCTGATGCATCTTTCTGGGTGAAAGATTCTCCCCCTCTTGAGAACTTGGAATTCTAAAGTCAAAACGTTTGCTTTAATTTAAGACCTCCTGCCGATTCGTGCCACAAAGCAGTCTTTGTGTCTAGACCCTTGTGAGAACAGCTATGGCCTCAAGCTCAAAATTGTTTTTTCCTCCCTAGTCTCCTAGGGAATAGGGACAGATCTGAGTATGTGGAAAGCTTGGAAAACCCCTGGTGTCCCATTAAGCAGATATTTCAAGTTACTTGACTAAAGTGTTCTGTCTCTCAGCAGGGCACTTTTGTCCACCAGTCACTGTTCTACATCTGCAGCTTAATTGTTAGCACCAACTCTGCCAACCGAAACAAGAGTCAGGAGCAGAGATACCTTGAAAATACTTTCAGAGACAGCCAAGTGGGAGAGATTTCCCTCATAATCCATGGCCATTGGGTATCCAATATGTTTGTACACTTGCAACTCTCAACCCCACGTCACATGCAGCACCTCAAGTGCCACTTCCTACAGTAGGTGAGTGACCTTCCAGGGTTCCTCTGTGTTCACAAAGTGAATAAGAAACCTGAGATGGGTCACTAGGTCCGCAGGAGCCTCATGAAATCTGTGTCTGAGTTACATCTACTGCAGTTTAATTCTTCTGGAATAGGGTGTTGACATTGGCACCATTCAAATCCAAACGCAATACTGTGTTATACCGCCTCTTCTAACAACAGCACATAATTGAAAGGGGTTTGATACCTTATCTGACAGTTTGTGCAGCCTTCTCCTATCCCACGTTACTGAGAAGCAAGATTCTGCTTTCCAGTACGCAATTATTTCCACCGACTCCATGTGCACCACTGCCCTCCTGCTTTGACCCAATGTGATGGAATGAATTATGTTCTCTTGTAAAAAAAAAAAAGTCTGCAATGATTTACGCACAGAAAATTTAGCTGAAAGTTATTTGACAAATGCCAAATAACATCTTTAAACAAATACTACTGTCAAACTTGCTCAAACAGAGCTTGAATAATGTCCCCTTTGTAATGTGAGCAAACAGCACAAAATGGTCTCCAGTTCCAGGAGTAACTAAAACATGCAAAGAGCAACACCCACTGCCAAACCACTGTAAAATACATGTAAGAGATACTCAGAAAAATGTTAGTGATATGTCAGCAGAACTACTAGCTGGGTGGGCTACGTTAAGAAGTGAGTGCTATTTGACTTTGTGAGCTGCCTTCATGTTCTTCTTTCTTGCATTTCAACAAACTAGAGCCCCAAGTACCATGATTTCCAAACATCAGTTGTTTCAGCAAGTGAAGTTCAAAGAAGTAGGAAGCTTTATTGCATACTGATTTCTCCCTGCCTAGAGGTTCAGCTTTTGGCCTAGAAAGATCACAGATAGGGCCTCAATTCATTCCAGTTACAGAAGATACCCATTATTCTTATGATTAAAAAGAATGCACAACAGAGAGACTGGCAGTCCAAGCAAGGCAGTGCTTCTGGAGTTCGCATCCTATTAAGAACACCCATTTTAAACAGTGTACTTATTGTGCAGTTGCTGGCTTCCATATCTGCACTTATCACAAGTAAAAGTTACGAATCAACGTGCCAACTGAAAACTGAGCTATAATCAAGGGTGTCCCTCCCCATTACACAAACAGCAGCATAACAGGGCCAGTAATACCACCTACAGCAACCATGGGGCTGGAGCAGCAAGGTATCTTCTCAGTTAGAAGGGACAGCCATTTCCCAGGCTCTCCCTCCCCTTTCATATTCACTTACACAGTTCCTTCAGGAGTTCCTTCATGTCACTGGCCTCTAGCCTGTTAGACTAACAAACCAAGAATCACAAAGTAATACAGTAGAAAATTAAGTCCTCTGCATCTGCAACAAAGTGTAGATTGCCACTTGGTCTATGCTCTCAGGCCAACGGCTTAATACTTAATGTAAAAGATTCCCACCCCCAACCCAGTTGGAATCCTTTGCTCAAGTTTTTTAGACGCAGAAAGAGAATGTTTGTCTCCAAACTCAGGAAAGAATCAGGTGTAATAGGAATCCAGTGGACCACCTTCTGTAAAGGGAACACAAAACTGTGTGGAAAGAGATGTCCATTCCCTCGCTGACTTGAATTTCTTACGTGATGTCCTTCTTTCTTGGAGGCCGGTGAATATTCCTCACCACGCACTTCACCATCCATTCAATTCCCTCGTTAACTCCTTTGCTAAGGAAATAAGTAGACAAGGTTTTTTTTAAAAAAAAAAACAACAAAAAACAAACAACAAAAAAAACCCCCAACAACCAACCAAGAGCAAAAACATGGCTCATGTTGTTCCTAACTGAGCCTTTACAAGAGCAAGCGAAGGGTTCTGCCCTGCAGTTACTTATTGGCATTACTACATTAGTTTCTCATATATGCAAACAATGGAGATCTGATTTCTTTTAACGTGGTATGTAAACGCCATCCTTTAGTTTTCTGGTGTCTGTACAAGTCTACATCCAATTCAGTTAGTCATCAACTCTGTGGAAACCTTGGGATTATGGGATTAACAAGCATCAAATCACTTTACATCTGGTTTGAGGTTGTTTTGCTCCAAGTCTCAGGCTAGCTGTATCAGATCTTCCAACTGTGACTCCAACTTTCTGTAATCATCAGGGCTGGGGCTGCCAAGCAAGTCACCAACTCACTGGGGTCTGCACAGCTTCCCAGACAGGACTTCCACAATTTTTTTTTTTTTTTTTTTTTAGTGCAAACTCAAACTGAAATTTTGAAAGGAAATTCCACACAGATCAAAACTAGAAGTGTTTGAGCAAAACCCACAATTGCAAAGGTTGCATTTCATAAGACTATTATTTAATACTTCTCTTCCAGTTACTGCTTAACCATTGTTCTTGTGGTCATTCATCTGCTTAATGGCATTTGATTCTTAGCAGTGCAGACAACAGATTTTTCTCATGGTTTAAGAAGCTTTCCTTATCCTTTGCAGCAAGTTGTATAATAATACAGATTTATTGCTAGACTTAAAAAGGAATAAATCTCAAAGCTCTGGATTCAGTCCAGACAGTAATTCAGACAGAAACACTTGTAGCCATCTGGAACAGTACTTTTGACTTATGCCAAATAGCGCTTTTCACTCAAAGAACTGAAAGTGTAACCAAAGTATTGCAAGATCCAATGTGCAGTAGTGATGCCAAGATATCAAGAATCGGGTGGGTTGGTCAAGGTCACAGCGTGCAGCTGTGTGGTGCGCAGCTGTGTAGGCCTGAAGAAGAACCACAGTCTCCCAAGTTTTGGTCTGTTCTATTCATTGTATCCTAAACCACAGGCATCCCTAGTGTAAGAACTCTCTTGGAGATTGTTCTATTACCTACATAACAAAGCTCATTTGCATGCAAAAAAATATGAAAGCAAGAGCATAATTACACCACCAACAATGGGACCACCACTTATTTCTCTGGCAGTGTCATAAACAGCTATATTTTCAACTGACTTCTTATGTAAAAGCCAGGAGCTGCAGCAAGCCAACAACTGCAAAGGTTATTGAGTACAGAGAAGGAATGATAAAGGACAAGAATTAACAGCTCCATATGCTTCCGAGTCCTGCTGCTCACAGCCAGCAGAACATTTTCATTGTCTTTCACAGGTGGGATTTGTAGATGAAGTTACTGACCTGATGCAAGTCCAAGGTTCACGCGCAGCTCCCTTTCAGGGGTTATTCAACCCTGTAGTATTGCTCCGCTTGTGTGACCCCCTGCAGCTGCTCAGTTACCCAAAACACCATCCATCCCCACACTTACCCAGTAAGAGCAGAGCAAGCTTGTGTCAGGCAGTCTCTCTTCCCAATTTTGTTAATGCAATCACTGAACGCTGTCTTGATGTCAGGTATTGACAGACAAGTCTGCAAGGGAAACCAAAGAAGAGCTTGCTTTCTATGCTACCAGAGATGGTGACCTTCTTCCAAATGAATCCTACCACAGCCACTGTTCTGCTTCAGTCCGGAGGGCATGATGCTGTTAGGTTAACACCCACTAACACAGCAAATTAACTTCTTTACATTCCAAAAAAAAAAAAAAAGGAACATATTCTTTTTTCACCAAATAGAATGCTCTTTCCAGAGAGCATACGCACACTGCCGCACCTCCCTGATCCTCGAGATGTACGCTTCTACACAAATAGAGTAATGACAACAAGCACAACCTGCACATCCTTGGGATACACCTTCCAACCTGCCCCAAGCACCACACACAAGGTCTGTCGACCAAAACACTACAAGAGCACACCTCCTTGAAACACCTTTTGAAACGGTGTACCTGCCAGAATCCCAGACAAGTCAGTTCCTATAGCTGACTCTTTGCCAATGGCCTGGATCAAGTCTCCCTACGTGTGCACTCTCAGAAAAATCACTCAGATATGATTTTTCCCAAGTTCCCAGAACATTCCTTGACATGACCACTCTGGACTTGTTAGTTTGCATTTTGCATGCAGAAGAAAATGCTGACAACACTGAATGCAGCACATTTTCTGATGTCTGGTATCACTGTTCTCTATCACCATCAGGTCTTGCATTTCTGTAAGGCTGCAAGGAAATTGCTGAGAAGTGGTTTTAAAATCCACAAACGCATAAGCTCCCCCCAATAAACCAGTGAATTACTCTCCTGACATAAATCACTGTGTTAGCACAAAGACTTTATTCTTAGAGTTACAAACACAACAAAAGTAAACCTGCCCTACTGAAGTCTAGACTTGCATCTTCCTCCCTGAACACAGGAAGCAAGTACAAGAAAAATCACCAGCCTTTAAACCCTCTTCTGATCTTGGTGCTCACTTTTTCCTTGGAAGCCTTGGATAAGCCATTTAATAAGCACTTCAGCTGGCCACAAGCCCTGCTTTCTTCCTCTGTCTGCAGCCTTCTTCTGAACCTTCAGTGAGGCTCAAATACATGTTTTGGGCAAGTTTTTACTCAAATACCAGATCGGACCCTTGTGAGTCTTGAGGATTAGTCCAAGTGTATGTCCACTTTGAAAGAACAGACTATCTGCAAACAGGAATTCAGTCTTCTACAAGTCTGGGCCTTAACTTAGCAAAAAGATGGAAATTAATGATATCAGCTATCCATTTTGCAAAATACTGGTTCTGGATAAATTAAATACGGGAAACTACTGTGGGGATGACCATGTGACAAACAGGCAGGTTTCAGTGCTTATTTATAAGAAACGTTCTTAAGAAATGGCTTGAGAAGAGTTTAACGATATCCTATTCACCCAGTGCCCTTGAATCCAGACTTGTGATTTTCCACTGTAAAGGGCCTAGAATCCATTGGTTGTGCAACTTGGGATGACTGTACTTTCTTATGACCTAAACTGCATTTCAAACTTGCAGTTTCAATCAAAGAGCTGGAAACTGTATCCAGAAATGTTACTTACTTCATTGTACCAAAGCCCCAACAACTTACTTCAGGATTTCTGCCAAATTAAAAAGCTACAATTCATAAAGATGAGCTGTCATCCACACAATAAATAGTTAAATAAATTAAAAAAACAAAACAAAACAAACAAACCAAATACTAACTTTAGAGGGAGTCAGACTGAACTTGGGAGTTGGAATTCATACCAGTAGGTCTGGAAGAGGGGGAAGAGCTTACTACCAAACAACCATTCTCTACAAGTTTGTAAAAGATGCTACTTTAGTTTTGGTATGATGTTCACAGCCAGATAAGAAAGGCAGGTCCAACTGCCCCTTGATTTAAGCCAAAGCTCTAGACAAGTCAATTACCCAACAGCTGGGAAGGAAGAAAAGCTGCATGTCAATAATTTGAGCTGTTTTTCATGTCACTATTTTTTTTCAGTAAATGAGACTTGGCAGCAGGAGGGTTAAACCCCAAGGCAGCTGAAACTGAGCAAATATTTCTTGAAATATACTTTAAGCTTATCACAGTTTAATATCATACTATAATAATTTCTCCTTTTCTGAATTATGATCTATTCTTAAATCTTTTTACAATAAGTCTGAGAGAATGTGTTCAAGGTGGGAAATCACAGCGCAGAGCGCAGCCACACTGCCCTTTATCTCTGCTTGCACAGACCTGCACAAAGCCATCAGGCAACCGACTTCCCCAGAACCACTGCAGAGTAGTACACCTGCACGCATCCAGCGGCACAGAGAATCCACCTCCTTTGCCTTGGCCAGCCCCGAGGCCTTTCCCAAGTCCCCTTTTCCCAGTGCAGTTTATAACTGCTGTAGCCGTTATAATCGCTTCCCTTTCTCACGCTCTGGTACGATTGTGGCTTGCCCTAACTCCTACAAAGCTGTCCGGCCATTGCTCTCCACAGAAATCTGCAGCAGCAGGAGTTTTGCTTCTGAGGAGGCTTTGCCCCATTTACACTGTTCATAGCAGGATGTCTCTGCATCACAACACTACACCTGTTTTGAGGAACGGCCTTTTCCCCTTGGCATAAAGTATGGTAATGCAGCAGAGCGGTGAGCACCAGAGCGATCAATTCAAAGAAGCCTGTTTTAGTGCTCAAGGGGAAGCCACGAACTGGAATCTTGTCTTGCAGCAGAAGATGAGGCAGATCACCCATCACTTCAGGAAGGAGCATTTGCACTCCTCATGCTCAGGAGAAAATGTCAGCTGCGGCTTCTAAGTTCCTCTCTTTTCCACCTCCCTGTCTACGTTACAAAATATTTGTTTACAGATGTGTTTTGCTTCTCAACTGAAACCACATAAACCAAGAGCAAACTAGGGAAGCTGGCTTTGTGATCACATAAACAGTGTACCATTACAATAATAAAATCCACAGATGACCTTTCTGGAGTGATGTTATCTACCATACATTTCAGAGGAAACTCGCACAACTTGACAAATCATATTTCTATCTCAACTTCCCCAAAAGAATGCACTGTAAACCATCTTTTCATGAAGGCTCTTCAAGGCACAGTCTCGCCGGGACTGACTTGCCTGCACAACCAAATTCCTTGAAGGAAGGGTTCAAGACAGCACTCCCCAAATTAAGACTCAGGAACGGTACACCTAGAAGTAAATTAAGAAGAAAGGCTCCGTTTCTGGAGTCACTTCAGAAAAAGAAAAAAAGGTTGCATTGTAGAGTCTTTATCTATTTGCCAAATCCACTGTAGGAAAGACAATGCTGCTGCTTGGGTTGCTATCAGGATGAAACCTGAAGTACAGGCTCTTCAGCCATCTCGAGAGTAATCCATCGGCAGAATGGAACTAAACCAGAAAGGTGGACACCCTAAGTAAAACTATTTAATAAAAAGCCTACTCAACCTATGTTCTGTGCTATCTTTTTTTTTTTACAAGCTTATTTAAATTAAAACTAATTTTACAGGGAAGCTGTGGTATTTCTTAAGTTAGAATGGCTGTCATACAGAAGACCTGTTTTCTAACCACTGTCTAGAAAAACATAACACTATGAATCTTCAAATATATGCTGCTGCTGCTACTCACCATGACTCCTCTCATTTTCCAAAAACATGAGGAAGCTTTTCAACATTCTGGAGATTTCAAATTAAAATTTCCAAAATTTGTCTTAAGATTAGAAAGGCATAACTTCCTCCCAGAGACATCATATAACACCCCGTTATTCTTACATGCTATTTGTTCAGTTCAGTTTTTCCAGTACTCTTCATAGTGTTCCAAAATGAGCCATTCTATCCTCAAGTTTTAACAATTCATTGTACAACTCCAATATATAGCTTTTATAAATCTTTAAACAACCGCACTCACAACAAAATGACAAATAAGTTCTCATTTTGCAGTTTCTGCAGTAAACAGTAGGTAAGCCAAACTACCCAATATTTTCAGAATTGGTATTCTGACTTGAAAGGGAGTCTACATGAATGAGTGCATATTAGACACTCAATTCCTCTACAAAGCAATAAGCAATAGCTCCTTTAAAACCCCAAATAAACTCCCTCCCACAACACACATTTGAACCAGTCTTTTAATTATTTATGAAATGATCCCGTTTTGAAGCTCCTGCTAAACACAGAGTATTCTCCTGGTATAAAAAAAAAAAAAAAAAATCATATACGGTATTGTCACAACATCAGAATTGGTGTTTTGCAGTCTATGACTGTATTACATCTCCTGATACGGCCAAACACCGCTCGTGCTTGGCAGTGCTGAAGGGATGTAATTTACCCAAGGGTAGTAGCGCCTATTAACAGCGGAATTCTTTTGTACAAGGAATTTAGCATCAGGGCCAAAAATTCTTACAGTTTGTGCAATTTCAGGCATTTCAGGCATTGAGTCAGAACTTTTTTTAGCTTATTGTGAGGAATGTAAACTTTAAAAAAAAAAAAAATAAAAGAAAAAAATCTAGGTCAGATGTACTACTTGTGATGTATTTCCCCACAAGTCTTCTGCTGGCCTTTAAAGATGCAATCATCATGAATTATCTTCATCAGCGAACACCAAGAAGGTTAAGACACTACTTAACCTCCTTTATCATAACCCACATTAATGACAGAGGGAGGCCGGTCAGCATTCCCCACTACAATTATATGTCTGGAGATCCAGAGCAGAAAAATCTCTACCAATGACAAACCTGTAATGTTCACTTTTCCTCCAGAAGTCTTCAATTCTGCTAGATCAGCGGAACAGGCCTTCTAGTTTTCTAAATCTTGCTTAAGTGAATCTGCATAATTACTGAAAAATAAGCTATAGTCCCTTTAATGTTTTGTTAATAGCACTGATATCTCTCTGCTCTGTGTTCATATCCAAAATCACAGTCTAAGAGTAGAACTCTAAATATACCATTTAGGTATTTCTTGAAAATAGGTATACCTCCACTCAGCACAGTTCTGCTAAACTCTTGTCACAGTTCTACAACTGCATGAAGGCGCTAAAGCTGTGGGCTGGTCTTGAACCCCCTCCAGTTTTTATCTTGGGAGCCTGTACTAAATCTCTTTTGTCGTATGAAGAAGTCCACTCGTTCAATCTTTTTTCTGTAGTCTGGCTAGGATGCCAGAAGAGTTGGCGTCTGCAGTGTGCCCGTAACAGAATTTGCATATACAGCCATAAGGAAAATTGGAACAGCTTTCCAGGTCACTGCATATTTCTCTAGACCTAAAGGCAAGAGTGCAGATTGCTCCCTGCTGTAAAGCTGTAGTGTTGCTTGGAAATATGAGAGTTAATATTCTGGTTTCCTCAAAGGGAAAACAGCCAATTTCCCCACACACCAGAGATCACAGCAAAGTCAGGATCATAAATCAGGAGTTCTGTCTCAATCTCAAGCTGTCTTTTACAAGGAACTACATTTATTTTATTTCTATGACTAGATAATCTCATGATCATCAAAAAACCTGTTGTGCCATACACATGAAGTGTAACCAAATCCTCCTTCAAAGCCAAAGTGATTTCTATGGAAGTCTCTCCCACAACTACACTCACCCAACTAGGTGTAAAGTCCAGGAGAAGAAGCTGGGAGGTATTTGTGTGTTTTGAAACAGATACTGATCACAGCTGCCAGGATCAGTGCTCCAAATTCTACTGGAAGTCTCTGGCTCCATCTAGAGATTAATCACTCGAACTGCAGTACTGGAATTCCAGGCACAGCACGTGGAAAGGAGGAAAACATGGAAAATACCACGATAGCTTTAGGCATTCTTCTCCCTTTTTTCCATGTCAGGGGAGATAAGGACTGCCCTGGATGCGTCACCTAAACAGTCACACTGTAGAGCCCACTCACTTGACAAATACAAGAGTGTTGCAGTTCTGGATATGCTAGAAATAATTCAAATTATACTAGCAAAAGCATTCCTTGCCATTCACTACTGTTATTGACGGAATGCTCTAGGACAAACAGAATGTTTCATTGAACAGATCTTATCTGGTTATGGGAAAGGGATGATACTGCTTCACATACATTTGTTGGGCTGTTCCAAGGTAGTAGCAGAACAGCATAAACAAAGTGCACTAAACATTTTTTCGCTGAATAAACAGGAAAAAACAGTATCTAGATACCAAGTCACAGTACAAGAAAAACCCACCCATAGCTACATAGTGTGTTCTGTTTACAGAAAAAGTTGAAATAAGCTGATATGGACGTGCCTGCAGTAAGCTCATTCATGTCACTGGAAAAGGGCTGGAGGAGAAGAGAAAAAAATCAAAACTAAATTCAAAGCAATTATTTCCAGCAGTGGGAAGCACCATAGGATCAGTCCAGGAACATTAAAGAAGTTTAACATGAATGCAGAGCTCACCTTTCCAAGGCTTATTTATTTGCTCATTTAAGAAGTAAATCTGCAATAATCTTACCTCTACATCCTGCTTGTTAGCCAACACCAGGATGGGAACCCCTTCCAGAGCTTCGCTGGTAATCATCTTCTCTATAAAGCACAGAAACAAAACCAGAGGTTTAGCCAGTTCTGGAAGATAAAGTTGCACAAATGCCTGACACAGACTATCTGGACACAGGGATGAATCAAGAGGCTCTTCCTTGCATTACAGTTTAATTTGATACAACCTTTCAGGGCTATTTTTTTCACAGAATTTTTTCCCAGATCAAATTTCAAACTTCATTTTGACCAATGAACATATTACTGAGAATTAATGAGGTGATAAGTGAAAAATAAGGTGTAAAAATTTCAAAATCATTAGCATAAGAACAAAAAGAGATTCGAGGTCATTATAGGCAACAAAAATGAGTCCTCTGTTACAGACAAGACAGACTTCAATAAAAAAGTTCAAAAGCACTACAGATGTGTCATCACCAGGCCACACAGCTTATTTCAAGGACACAGGAACAGACACCATAGGAACGAGAGAACTGTGCCACAATACATCATGAAATCACAGTACAGGTAAAACACAGCATACTCACCAAAAGCTCTTTTAGATTCTGAGAGCCTCTCCTCATCAGTGGAGTCAATAACATAGATCACTCCGTGAGATTCAGCATAATACTGAAAGGATAACAGAGATATTAGTGTATCTATCCACTAGGACCATTTGTTCTTCTTCCTAATTTTTTTTTAATTTGGTAAAATTTTGATACACATGGAAGAGATCAACCAGTTAGAGCCAGCTGTTTCCACAGTATATGTCCGGAGAGAAGAATGGTGGCACACAGAATGCACTGCCTGCTCTGTTTGCAGGCCTACCGAATACAACAGGTCTTCACCTGTTGTATAGCTTATCTGTCCCCCAAAAACCTTATCTCTACTGGCACAACCCTCAGATATGGGTTGGTAACTGCTGACTGTAAACAATAATGCAAATAGTAATCATTTTCTTCACTAATCTTGAACAGATGTAGTTGAATCTCTGGAAAAGTGCTGACACTAAGTACTAGGGTCACCAATAAGCCTGTATGATTATTAAATGATCATATTGCTTCAATTCTAAAAGAGACAAAAACATTTCCACAAGAAAAAAAAAATACATCTCCAACCTTGTCCCAAAGAGACTGCAGTTCCTCCTGTCCGCCAAGATCCCAGAACATGAGCCGAGTTTTGCCAACATCAATAGTACCAACTAGAGGGAAAGAAGAAAAGACAGTGCAATGAAAACTAAAGGTGTTCTCTAAAGCATCACCACCCGTACACCCCCCTAAGAAATCTGGGGTAGACAGTCTTCTAGAGGAACAAATCACATACAGTGGCTACTTTCAACAACAGAACAATACCTTTGCAAAGAGTGATCACTAATATCAGAGTCATACCAGTGCAAATATTATCAGAATCAGACCAACAAATGAACACCAGTGAAATTTAGCTTAACCTCTGAGCATAGCAGTGAAATGGGACACTTGCCTTTTTAAGACTTCAGCGATTTTTCCTCATAAGCTGAGGAAGCCTATTTTATCCTCTTACAAAAAGACAAGGGGAGTTGGGAGATACAATCTCTACTTCCAGAAATTATTTTGCCCTTGCCAATTCTTAAATACTTTAAACAAGAACCAGCTGTGGTCTAACTGTGCAGGGAAGCTGAAAAAATTCTGAACAGAGTTACTTACTGTTTAAGCCTACAGTGGTTGTGATTTTGGACAAACTCATCCCTTTGTAGTTCTTGTTAAATCGAGTTTTAGTTTGTTCAAGGAAGGTCTGAAAAGGAACAAGAAAAAGTATTTGCTTTCCAATATTTTACTGGCTGGGGTAATCCTAACCCAAACCTGCCTTCTAATTCCTGCAGAATCTTGCTCCAACAGGTATTGCCTAACCTTGGAACAAACCACTCTTCTTGTTCCCTACTTTAGCAAGGAAAGAAGGGATCAGAGGTGATTACAGGATTACCAAAGCCTCAGCTACATCCCTGAAAGCTTATGCTAAATTTAAGTAAGAGGGAAAGGTTGATTATTTGGCGTGACATCATTAAAATAACTCACAATACAGCCGAAGAAAGATTAACCTGTCAGAAGCTTTATCTTTGCAGGATGTTTAAAATTGCACATGCCCTGCGCAATGAGTAATAAACAGCACTTACGGTTTTACCAGCATTGTCCAAACCAAGGATCAAGATGCAGTACTCATCCCTCTGGAACATGTATTTATAGAGCCCGGACAGCAGAGTATACATCCTGCTCCTGCAACAAATACCAGGATATCATTAACAAACAGGTCATTTACAGAAGTCTCTCATTCCACAACGCAGGTTTTTCCCAACACCAGGTAAATAAGTGACATTATTCTTTTATCAGTAACTCTCATATTTAGGCAATCCCAGGACAAATCACAGATCCAAGAGAGATCATGCAAGTTGCTCAAGATCAAGTTTTCAAACGCCTACAAGTGAGGGACTTTCTTTCCAAACAGCTTATCCTCTGTTTCTGTATGTTGTGCCCAGCATCCGCTGCAAACTCAACCCTCATTTGAAAACTACCCTGTCTGCTTTGGGGCTTAAAGGAGAGCTAAAGAAGAGCTTGAATATCTTTTGCAGCACATGTAAGACCCACAGAAAATTAAGTCAACTCCATACAAATATACAGAATTGGTATTTTGAGCAAGAATGTACAGGCCAGTCCCCTCATTCTTGTTCCCCATCCATGTAACAGTATCATGGGACCTTTAATGGTTGAACTGAGTGCAATGTATCATAAAGGCACATAAATTAAGATAAGCAGGGGGTTTAAGCCTTATCCAGCAGCAACCTCCTGTTATGGTATCCACCATACAAGTGTTTTGTCATCTTACAATGCCATGAAGGCAAGACAGGTAAGTTCATGAGTCAACACCAGAAGACTAAGAATCAGGCAAAGCAACACCAACACCTGCAAAAGCCCACAGGTTTTTTGTTGTTGGATTTTCACAAACAGGGCAGAAATAATTTTCCAAAATGCAAAAAGGATTGGTACCAAACACTACAGCTGACTCACACAGCATTGAGACAACTCTTCTGTTTAAATACAGACAAAGGGAACCTCAAGGCAAAGACTTTGGAGAGTCTTTGAGCAAGTGAGCAGATAAATAATCACTTTGAAGTGAAACAATGTTGCCTAAGGGTAAAAAAAACACACAAGCAAAACAAAAAACAAAAACAACAACAACAAAAAACAAACAAACAAACAAAAAACAACAGCGTTCCAGACCAGTAAGGGATTTCCGAGGCTGAAGCACTCGGCCTGAGAACAGGGCACCCCGGAGCGCAGGGGCTTCATCCGCCGAGCCAGGGGGGCCCTTCACCCCCAGCTTTTCCCCTGAGAAGGCATCGAGGCCGCAGGCTACGGGACAAACCCCCCCGGCCCGCTCCCCTTTGGGGTCGGCGAGTGATCCCAGACGTGCCCAACTACCGACCCGCTCCCCTTAGAGCCGGGAGACTCTTCCCCCTCCCCCCGCTTCCCCTGCCACAGCCTAACAGGGGAGAAGGGGGAAACCGACCCTCCCCGCCATTTCCCCCCCCTCACGGCCCAGGGCCAGGGCCAGGGCCAGAACCCGGCCCGGCGGCACCTCGCAGGCTCGCCCCACAGCCCTGCGGGCCCCCACCGCGGCCCCTTACCGTCCCCCCGAGCGCAGAAGGCGGAGGACAGCGCCCAGAGCCCGCAGCCCCTCGCCAGGTACCAGAAACACCTCCCGCCACAGCTCCTCAACGTTGCCCCTCGGCACCGGCCGCCTGCGCCATTCCCCCCCCTCCCTCCCCGCGCGCGCGGCTCTCTGGGAAATGTAGTTCTCGTGCCGCGGCGGGGGTGGTGCTGGAGGGGACGTGTGGACTACAACTCCCAGAAAGCTCAGCGACGCACGAACCTCCCCGAGTGCGCAGGCGCGGGGAGGGGGGGCAGCCGTGCTGCTGAGCGGCGTAGCGCGTTGGGGAGCGAAGCCGGAAGTGGGCGTGCGGCGGGGCCGGAAGTTGGTGGGGTGTCATGGCGGCGGCGCAGTAGGGGAAGGGGGAGCTGAGGGGTGAGCGGGGCGGTCGGGGCAGAGTTAGGCTGGGGAGTTGCCGCTGGCTCCGTGGCGGAGGGGTCGTGCCTCGAGTGCCCAGGTTGCCGGGAGGAGGTGCGTGGGTCCGGTGGGCTCCAGCGGGGAGGGGGAAGGCAGGGCAGGGCAGGGCCTGGCCTCCCCTCAGGCTCCTTCATCGCCGGTTTGCTGCGGGAGCATCGGCCTGGCTACTTCTGAGAGAAGAAGCGGGACGTCGGGGTAGATGGTCCCTACTGCGGGCAGGGACTTGTTATCCCAAAAGTTGCTCATCTTAAGTAAACTCTTTGACTATGTTCTGAGTTCCCGGAAAGGGTGCTGCTAAACACACCTTTATTTTGCTGATAATGGATGAAGAGAGTCTGGAAGCATCCATTCAGACCTATAATGCCCAGCTGCAGCAAGTGGAGCTGGCTTTAGGGGCAGGCCTGGACCCATCGCAGCAATCGGACTTGATTAAGCTGCAGGAAGATTTAAAGCAGCTGATAGAACTGACCGAATCGAGCCTGGTGTCTGTGAAAAAGAGCAAACTTCTGGCTACTTTAGATACAAATGCCTCCTCTTCCCCAGGAGGTCTCCAGGAGCAGGCTGCCAACCCAGACTCTTCCGCCCAAGATGAGGAGTATGCTGCTTTTAGGGAGGCCATTGCTGAGCTTGGAACTGATGGGACGCCTTCAGCTGACAGCAGTGAGATATCATCAAAGAGAGATGAAGAAACCGATGACAAAAACGAATCAAAATACAGCGAAGAGGAGGAGGAGGAGTCTGACAGAGAGGAGGAGGAGGAGTTGAGTGGGATGAAGGTTAAAGCTCCCTACTACAGTTCTTGGGGGACCCTGGAGTACCATAATGCCATGATTGTGGGGACAGAGGACTTGGAAGACGGCAGCGCGGGAGTCAGAGTGCTGTATCTCTATCCAACTCACAAGTCTCTGAAGCCGTGCCCGTTCTTCTTGGATGACAAGTGCAGATTTAAAGAGAACTGTCGGTAAAAAAGCAAAAGGGGTGGGAGGGGGCTGTGTCCTTCCTGTAGCTAAGGGCCTTGTTTCTCAGAGGGATAAACCTCTGAAAGTACCACGTTTGGGTTTTCTACCCAATGAAATTTTGCCTTTGTTTATGTTTTTAAATGTGTTTTGGTAAGCAGTGGCACCAGTTTGGCTGTTTTCTTTAGCTCACGCAGAGGCGGAATGGAAAATCCCATGGGGAAGTTGCAGAGATTTTATATAATCAATTGAGTGGCTAAATTAATAACCGATTAAGTATTTTAAAATAAAACACCAAAGCTCGTCTCTTGATAGTGCACACACGCCAGTTGCACAGAGAGGCTGTAGCCTCTCCTTTGGAGATCTCATCTTTGGAGATCTTCAGAATTTAATGAGGTAAAGCCTTGAGCAACCTGATCAGTCTTTGAAGTTGGTTGTGCTTGGTGCAGGAGGTTGGACTAGAGTCTGTGTGATCCTGTTTATCTCAAAGGGCCTGTGAACTTTTCTGCTGGATGTGTCGCTAGCAAGGAGAGCTTAATTCTCTGGGGTGGGATGGATTCTTTGTTACCTGACATAAATAATATCTTTACGATGAAAAATGAATAACTTGTGTAATTGAAATAATACGATAAAACTTCCGTAATTAATGGTGAAGATTCATTACTGCTGACAACTTGTTTGCATTTAAGGAGGGAAGGAGTTTTTGTTTAAATCCCGCTCAAATGAGGTAGAGATAATTCCTCTCCCACCCTCCCTGGCAGGTTTTCGCATGGCCAGGTGGTTGCTGTGGAAGAGCTGCAGCCGTTTCAGGAGCCCAACCTGAGCGCGCTGGAGGTGGGCTCAGCCTGCCTGGCGAAACACAGCGATGGGATATGGTACACTGCAAAAATAACCGGTGAGTCCTGTTTGAGCGTGCTTTGCCAGGGTTCTGTGTGGAAAGCAAAGGCTGATGCAGAAGTGAATGTGAAACTTACCTATTTTGGTTAACGGTAGAAAAACATTAACTGCGTAGCTGCGTCCTTAAACTGAAAATCTTGACATAGCTGAGAAAACAGTCTGAACTTTGTCAGGCTTGGGCTGGGAATAGGCTAGGAACCAAGAGAGTGTTAGACAAAAAGGAGACGTAAGAGCAGGAACGTGGGAAGGAAATTACTACGTTAACTGCACCAAAAGGGAAGAGGCGGGTGTTGCAGGAATTTGCATGCATATTAGATTAGAATTGCAACAATCTGCTGTGGTTTAAACAAAAGCCAGGGGAGCTGGCCCTGCCCATCAGGGGCTGATACAGGCTTCCCCGAGACCTGGGAAAGAGTGAGGGTTTAGGCTCTCTTTTCATCTTTCTTTCACTGTTATTGGGTCTGAGGGGAGAAAATCTAACTTCTCTTCCATTTCTCAATAGCCCACCTTTCTTCATTTTTAGAAATAAACGTTTAAGTATCAACACAGGCATTGCAGAAATTGCTTGTCATTGCAGTGGGTGCTTCTCCCTCCCAGACAGAAATCTAAAGCACAAAGAAAAACCAGAATTTTTTAAAAGACGTGTTCCTTGGGCCTTCCCCCTCTCCTGTGTCGTTCCACTGGAGCTAACCCTGTTTTAGAAAGTCCTCTGCCAGTTGCATACTGGGGACTGAGTGGAACTCTTGTTCCTTGCTTTTCCCTCTGTAGACATTGACAGTGGTTACTACACTGTGAAGTTTGATTCCCTGCTGCTCAGAGAAGCTGTTGTGGAAGGAGACAGTGTCATTCCCCCACTGCGAAGTGAAGATGGTGCTGAATCTGCCGAGTCTGATGACGACAGCGTTGATGATTCCGGTTACGCTAAAGGTGAGGGAGTGAGGACGGTGCGAGCGAAAGTGACGCGTGATCTACGTCTGCCTTTCTCTGGGACCTACTGAATTACTCTTCTGGAGCTTTCATTATAAGTGTCTCGCCTCTGATGAAAGAGTAGCTAATCGCTTTATATGCTGCTGAAAGATAGAGAACAGTAATTAGCTATTATGTTACAACTGGAAAGGAAAAATCTTTGTTTTATACAAATTACTGGGCTAATGAAGGTTGGAGGTTTCCATGGGAACTTCCAACACATGAAAGAGGAGGGTGTGATATTTTAAAGCAGAGTTCCAAGCTCTCAGCCTGTTTCTTATGTGGCTGGCTGAGTTGAGCTAATAAGTGAATCGGGAGACTTCCTCATCTCTGGGAGCTCTGTGTAGCTCCATGGCACACGAGGACAAGACCCCAGGAACTGTGAGTGTTTGGTCCTCCAGTGCCTCGAGGAGGTCGGAGGAGCCGCCGTGCCCTGTTTCAGTCTTGGAAGCTGACACAGAGAGAGCCTAAGTGACTTTGAGATTACAGCACTGTCCCTGTGCTAGCACCACAGTTACGTCACAGGGACCCAGTTGTGTCCTAGAGCTCTTTAATTTAGTGTAATAGAGATTATTGGAATCTAATAACACAAAATTAGCATTGTGGCCTAGAGAGGCCTCGTAGCAGAGACATCAGCTGGAGGCACAGAACAAGTATTACATGCCACTGTCCCAGATTTTACTCTGATGGTATGTCGGTCTGTATCACCATCCTAGAAGGAAGGAAAGGAAACCTAAAACCATCTGGATGATTCTGCCTGTAACTGTGAGATGGTATGTACATTAAATCAAGTGAGATTTCTCATTTAAGTGACTTGCTATGCGGCGTTCCTGAAAGGTGACAGCTCAGTAGGAACTGAGTAAAGCTGAAGGAGTGGCCAAATGGTTCTAGGGAGGGAGAAGTATATTGTACTGCCTCGTGAGGGGTTTTCGTGCTGTGTGGGTACCCCGGATGAAGGTTTTGTGTAGCAGCTTTGTTTCTGTGTTTCACTGGTTCATCTCTTCTGTGCCACAGTGATAGATTCGGGAGTTCCTGAGAACGGGGAATGGACTCCGGCGTGCAGTTCCTCTTTTGGTGGCTGGGAAGCCCACACTCGTGGTATCGGCTCCAAACTGCTTGTTCAGATGGGATACGAGTTTGGAAAAGGTAAGGGGAGAAGGTGGTCCTGGTGCTGTGAGAGCCTGACTGCTTCGGTGGATCCTAAAGCTAGTTAAGGAAAGCAAGATTTTGGGTGATGCTAAAAATTTTCTGTGCTGAAGGAAGGGCCTCTTAGATAAGGCTCAAGCTCTGTGATGAATCCCAGCAGATTCAGGAAGGCAAGAAGGGATAACTTGCTTAATCGAAGTACAGGCATATGTGTGCACCAAGCCCTGTATGGTAATAGCAAAAATTGGAGGCATTTGGAATCATGGTCAAGTTCATGATTAAAGCCGTGAGAACTGTTGTACGAGATGTTCAAAGGCTTTAGGTAGAAGGGAACTGATCTGTGAAGCTTCTGATGTCTGTGTTAAAGCATCTCCTGGCTCTAGACACAGACTTCAAAGCCTGCTGAACTAGCTTCTCAGTACACAAATTGTATTGAGCCTTGGGGGCTTTAGGAGGGCAGTCTGCTACTTGCATTTGTCTCTGGTTCTCCCAGAGGAACCAAACCAGTTTTAAGAAGAAGCTGGCTTGAGAAGCTGCGAATGTGAGGCTGAACCTAGTTTCATAGAAACCGGCCTAACAGATGGCCTCGGGCTTTTTATCACGTATCTTCTGCTGTAGAAGGCTCCTGTCATAGCATCTGCATCCACCACGATGTGGCCTTTGCTGCTCCCCTTAACTTGGGTGGTAGTTATGGCTTTTTGTGCCTCGAAAGCCTGGTTGCTTGTTCTAAGCTTGTGACTGTCAGCGGGAGGTGACTCGGAGCGGGGATGTCCTCACTTGCAGTAATTGCTTGGTGTCTCTCTTCAGGGTTAGGGAAGAATGCTGAGGGCCGAGTGGAGCCGGTGCAGGCTGTGGTACTTCCTCGAGGGAAATCCCTCGACCAGTGTGCTGAGGTGCTTCAGAAGAAGAAGCAGGGGAAGCTGGACCCAGGCAAATCGAGGAAATGCCGAGCGAAGGGAAACAGCTCCAGACAATCCCCTGCGGGCAGCCGTAAGCCTCCCCACAACGTGTTTGACTTTTTGAATGAGAAACTGCGAGGGAAGAGCGGTGGGGAGAAGGCTGGAGGGATGGCACTGCCGGAGAGGAACAGCAAAGAGATCTACCACGCTAGCAAGAGCACCAAGAAAGCCCTGAGTGTCCGCCTCTTCCAGACAATGGAGAAGATTGAACAAACGCAGAAGGATATCAGAGGAATCCAGCAGGCCCTGGCACGCAACATTGGACGGTAGGAAAGCATGCTGTTTGGGACTGCAGGATGGTGCTTCTGGGAAGGGGTGGGCTTGACAAGAGGTGTAGAAGGAACAAGTGAAACACAGCTGGATGAGACTGAAGGGGAGGTGGAGGGGGGAGACTTCAGTGTGTGCTTCAGGCCAGCTTGGACACTGGCAGATGTGTCTGGGGTCCTTTGGCTGGAATTCAGGCTGTGACGAAGAGAGGAGCTCTCTGAGGAAAGGTGCTGGAGTCCTTTCCTTCTCGTGCCCATCTGCAGTGCTGCTGTTGAGCATCACGGGAGGACATTTTCTAGCCCAGATTGTGCTGAGCCTCAGGTTCTTCCTGGCTTTCAGCAGGATCGCGCAGGGAAGGGCAAACCCTCCTGGGATGATGACAAGCCTTTGATCTTATCACGCAGGATGACGTCGCTGTAATGCTTTTTGCTTTCAGGCACAGCATTGCTACAGCTCAGCTGGAGGAGAAGCTGGCTAATGCGCACAAACAGCTGGGGCAGCTGCAGGCCCAGGAAGCCAGTCTGCAGCGGGAGCAGAAGAAAGCAGACACGCATAAGAAGATGACTGAGTTCTAGTCTCTGAGGAAAAGCATCTGACTGCAGTGATTGTCCTTCTAGCCAGCCCCGGTGCCCGTGGCCTCGGCGCCTGGGTGAGCCATCCTGCTCCTCCGGGCCTCGGGCTGCCCAGCCTGAAAACTGGGCTGAAAAGCAGCAGTTTCTAAAACTAGATGCTTCTGAGCTCTGCTGGGAGGGGAGGGTGGGAGTACACATCCGTCCAGCCCTGAAAGCATTCCGTAAGCCTGAGCCTTGTAGGAGGACTAGCTACAAGAAATACGATTCTCTGCTCTCTTGCACACTTCTTTCCTCTGTTATCACTGCGGTAGCACCTCCTTCCAGAGTCTGTAGCTACTCGGGGATGACATTGCTGGCTACGACCCAGCTGGGGAGGCTTTGAGAGCCCCACATCCTGCCATCAACTGTGGCTTGTGTTTGCAGCCAACTGACGAACACAAGTGGAGGCAGGGTCCCGAACACACTCTGGCGAAGCAGAAAAGGCTTGTGCTGGGTGAAAACAACAAAGGCAAAGCGCTCCAGCTGCTCTCTACCTTCTGGTTCTTGCTGTGGGATTTATCTGAGAACTCAGTTTTTTGGGGAGCAGTTCCTTGTAGCCCTAGTGTAATGAATAGACAGAAAACTGGCAGCTTGGAGGTGGGTACTAGTGGCCTCAAGCATCAGATTTCATCAGTTTGACTGTAAGAGTATCCCTAGGACATGCTGTAGCGTAACTCCTTGACTTGGCATGGAAAGCTGCGTGGTTCCACACGTAGAGTGCCAAAGCTGGGGGAATAAGACGGCAGAGTAACGGATTCTCAAACCTCCTAGCTAGGAACAACTCCACAGAGAGCCTTGTGATTTTTTTTTTTTTTTTTTTTTTTTTTTTTTTTGCCATCATGACTTGAGTTTTTCTGTCCTAGGTGGCTCGCTGAACACAGGTCCTTTTATTAAAAAACCTCAGGCCCCAGATCTGGGTCGGGCTGGACCCCGGCTGAGCACAAAGATCAGGAGGGGGCTGCATGTGCCCAGCGTGCAGCCCCGTCTGTGGGCGAGCTTCAGGCTGTGCTGGAAGCAGGCCAGGCAAGCGGTGCCCTTCCCTGCAGCGTGGAGAGGCTTTGGGCAGAAAGGATGTCTTCTCCCCTAGGTTATATCCTGCGTTGGTGGCAGCCAGTCCTTGCCCCAGAAGAGATGGTGGTTTCATCAGAATCTGTTTCTGGTGGGACTTGTGCATTGTAATTGCTTGTTAAAAGAAAATTTGTTTGCAATTTCATGCCAGTATCTTAAGGACACTTTTTTTTTTTTTTTTCTTAATTTAAGAAATCGATTTCCTTTTATTCTGCGAGTCATTTTTCTAATGAAAAGTTTTTGTTCCTCTAGTACCACCTTTTTTTATCTGTTCCTCAGAAACTTCTAAAGCTGTCAGCTTGGGCAGGGCTGCACCTCCTTATAGGGTCAGGCTGCCAAACTAACCAGAAAATCTAAGGCTGCAGGAGATACGATCAGAGTTGTTCAAGTCATGTGGGATTTAGCATTGCTGCAGACACACCTCAGAATATACAGAGTGGCAGCAAAAATAAACAAGATGAACGTCTTCAGGAAACCTGTTAGAGTGACTTTCTCCTGTGGGAAAGCCCCTGGGCCCCGCTGGGGTGGGCACCATGTAGATGTGAAGGTGGCGTGGGCTGCCCTGAGCACTTCAGCATCCATCGGTTTCTGACTGAATTGGCCGCGCTATCTTCATTGTTCTGAAGTCGTGTTCTCCGTGCACTGGGCTTAACTCAAGGGTTTAACAATGGTTACTCAGTGCCCTTCCCTCACAAATGACTGTTTGTTTCCCACACTCAAGTGTTGAGTGGTGACAAGGATTAATGTGCCCAGCTTAGCATGGGTGCTCGCTGAAGTGGCCCGTGACTGGTGAGCCGAGCTGGGCAGGGAAATTTCTTGGGTTTGTTTTGCGCTCTGACACTACTTAACATCTCTTTAAGAATTGGGTGTATTTAGTGCTGTGTCTTGGCTAAGTTGTAGTTTGACCCTTTCTTGGGATTTCCACAGCCTCACTTGTCAGACTCCTATTCAAATAGCTGCTGCCTCCCACCCAAGACAGTTCACATCCCTGGTGAATAAAGTTGGGTTTTATTTCTTTCCCCTCTGTCCTTGTAAGGTGTTGTTCATTTGCAAGGTAATGACGATCTGGGGCGACCCATTCTTTCCTGCTCTTGCCCTGCGGATAGAGAGCTGCCACTAAAACCGGCTCGGTGGGAAGCGGAGCGCGGCAGAGGGTGCTCTTGTGTGCCGGGCGCCTGCGGAGCCCGTCTGCAGCGCCGCTGGCAGCCGAGGCGGGGAGAAACCCAGCCTACCTCTGGGTGAAGCAACCACCTCTGCGGGCCAGGAAGCGAGCTGTGGTGTGTGCTGCGTGGTGTCTGCTCAGAGCTGCCTGCTCTAGGAGGAGCCGAAGAGGAGCGGGAGAGCTCACATCGAGATGTTTGAGAGGTTCGGGAACCCTTAATTAGGAATAAATCTGCGGGATAAAAGAAGCTGAACTCTCCAGGTTGGCTGGCAAGGAGGAGATCATGATCGGATCCCTGCTCTTCACGCTCACCGGCTTTTGAGTTTCTGCAAAGTAAGTGGTGTTTGCTTCTTGCCTGGCAGACTTGGGTATCTGCAACTAAATCAGGGGTTGAAAAAGTCTTTAAAACCCCCTGATCTATATAGGAATCGCTGTGTTGCCGGAGATGCTGTTGCAGCCGGACTGGAGAGGCAGGATTCCTTCGCTGCGGTGGGGAAGCATCAGCGGGGTTGCAGTTTGAGCGGGCTGCGAGCAGGGCTGCAAGCTCTGTGCCACTTGGTGCTTCGTGCTCTGGAAGCATCCGGGCTGAAAAAAGGAAGAAAAGGTGCTTGAGCTTGGCAACGCTGCTGGGGTCCCGTGGCTCGAGTCGAGAGGCTGAGGGGGAACCGGTTACTTGTGCGGCGAATGAATTGTTGAGTTCGGAGGTGTGGGGCATTGTTTTTTTTTTTTTTTCAACAGAAAGATTTGCAGTTGTCTTGTGGGGAGGGGAACTAGAGTTTTTGCTTACGTGTGGAACGGCTCTTGGGGAATTGCTGAGCTCCTGGCTGTGGGTGTGGAGGCTTGAGAGAGCGTGGTCACTGAAATGCTGTCCTCTGTAAACCCAAAATTGTGTAAAACTACTGAACTTGTGGCAAGAAAACCACTGTGGGAGGCAGGTGGTTCTCAAGAAAACATGTATCTCGTTGCACCCATCCTGTATTTTGGAATCTGGCTTCCCATAGCTGCAGCACCAAGGTCTCGCCAGAGCTGATGTCCTGCTGCAGCTCAGCTCTGCAGAAAGTCTCTCGAGCAGGTTCTTGATTTCTGCTTAGAAGTGCAATTCTCTGCCCGAGTGCATTTCCAGCAATCGCGGAAGGGCGGGAGGAAAATAAACTGCTGAGGTGATGTCAGCCTCGACCAAAGCCACACGGGGTGAGCAGGCAGGTCACTTACCTGAAGGTTTTTAAATCGTATTTTCTCAAAAGCCACTCCAGCGTGTGAGTAGCGATCAGGACTGTCGTTGGAAGTGTGCATCCAAGGTTTGTGACGTCTGGGTCTGGCATTTAGAAATACAGTTGGTCCTTTCTAAATGAAACACCTCCAGAGGAATTTGACCATGAAATCTCTCCCTCCTGCTGCAGAAACGCGAGTCAAGTGGGTAAGATCTCGTGCCTGCTTTGTATTTGAAATAATCTTAAAATTGACTAACTGCATCCCGTGGTTTAGGGCAGAGTCAGTGTTGTTGACTAGCTGTTACGGGGCTTCCATTTTTCAAAGCTGAAAAGAAAAAAAAAAAAAAAAAAAAGAAAGAAAAAAAAAAAAGATCTACTTCTGCTTCTTGGGACTTTTTTTCAGTACAACTCCCCAGGGTACCTGAGCTGTGTTTGCTGCAGCCGTGTTCACAATTGCTGATGGAAATCAGCTTGTAATGTTTGTCCTGGTTTCTTGCAAATACGCTTTTAGTAGTTTCATAGACTTTCTTCTCGTCACCCTGTGCTGAACACTGTGCGGTTTTATCTGGGTAGATGAATCAGAGGCCAGGCAAAATCAGCAGCAGCAGAACTTACTTTTACAGTAAATTTAATCTCGTTGTTTTGAGAACCAGCTGAAAACTTGGCGCCTTTTGTAGGAGTCACCCCCAAAAAAATCTCCCATGTCCTGGAGCGACAAACCGACTGCATTTTGTCGAGCCTGTGCTCGGGTGTCACAGAAGGGAGCCGTTCCCTCCTCGGTGGGCTGTGGGCGTGCGTCGCACATACGCTGCGGCTGTGGCTGCTCTCGTCTTCAAAGCCGTCTTGGCATGTGGAGCCAGCGCGTTCCGAAACGCCGTCTGCCGAGCCTCCTGCCCCAGAGAATAGCCCCGGGATGGGGAGATCAAGAACTTGGTTTGGCAGGGAACTCAGGGGGAGGTTTCAGAAGGTCCGTTTGAGACTTTGCCTTGCAAACCTGCTCAGTCCTACCTGAGGGGCTGCGGTCGGGCACTGGGTTTTCCTCGCAGATTTGTAATTCTGCGATGAACCAACGTATTGTCCCAAGCAGCGGCTTCTCGCAGTGACTGTTGAGCCTGCAAGAGCGTGCCCTCGGCGTCCTTCCAGGTCAGAAATCCAGGAGCGACCGCCGACCTCCCGCACAACAGCAAGTAGGCCAGAAGAATTTCTCTATATTCATTTCTACTGAAGAAGCCTCCCTCTCCGTTCTTCGATCTTAAAAATTCAGGGATGGAAAATCCACCCGCTGTGGGATAAGCCGCCCCGCGTGTGCCTGCCTCAGCGTGCTAAACGCTCGCGTTTCAATCCTGACATAACAGCGGCTCCCAGCCGTCGTACCTCGTTACAATTTTGTCTGCTAAACCTCAGAGCCTGCTGCGTTCTGCCCTGAACGCAGCCGCTTCTGCGGCCTGAGATCCTGTCGCTCTCATGAGCTGAACAAGTTCAGCGAGGACTGTCTAAAGCAACTGCCTGTGTTGCAGGTAATCTGTATAATTAATGTATGCTCAGACAGAAAAGCGGTGTTGTCTAATTAAAACCTCACTGGGGAGGGAACTGCTTTCCCTTCCCAGCTCTGATCTAAGCCAGTCTGTCTAGCCTGGTTAGTCCCTAAAGCCTCTCTGTCTCGGTTTCCACGTTGAAATAATTGTTGTCCGGGTGCTAAGGCTTCAGTCGGGGAAGGTTCCAAAGGCGTGGGAAGTTCTCGGATAAAAGGGTGCTACAAGTGGGCAGAGACCTGCTGGTTGTTGGGACGAAGATGCGCCCCAGATGCTGCGGCGCGACACGGGGAGCGAGAGCGGTCCCCCGAGGGGCACAGACCTCCCTGCTCGCCGTGGGGCCGGGGCTGCCGTGGGGCCGGGGTTCACGCGAGGCAGGGCGGCTTCTCACCGGAGCTCGCCTGACCTTGGTCATCCCGGTTGAGACATGTTGGGGGGGGTGTGAGTGAGAGGCACTCAGCGTGCCCCGCGGGATCGCCCCGTCCGTGGAAGCCGTCCCGCTCCCCCGTCCGGATCATTGCCCTGGCTGCTTCGAGCCGCGCTTTACCCCGCCGCTGGGATCTGCCTCGGTCTCCCTTCAGACCAGGCCTTTTCGGGGCGCTGGCGTGCACGTCTCTAGCAGCACGCCGGCCTTTCCGGGGGGGCAGGGGCGTGCACGGAGCCGGGGGCAGCGGCCGCCGTCTCGACATCGGCGCAGGTGAAGCGGCGTCAGCTTTTTGCTTTGGGCTTTGCGGCGCGCTGACGGCTGAGAGGGACAGGGGCGACGGCACAGGGTGTCACCGAGAGCTCCCCTGGGAAAGGAGCGGGATCCTGATGGGCTGGGGAGAATCTACTCTTTGCGTCGGGCTCCCCGGCACCTTCACGTCTCTGCACCGCTTGCTCTGCCGTGGTTTGCGGGCGAGGAACTTTTTCCTTGACTAAGGCGCAGGGAAGAGCGCTGGCTTTGGGCGAGGCATGGCTTTTTTTCTTTTGGCAGAGGAAAGCGGTAAAATTCAGGCATTTTCTGCTCACCTCTCGCAGCCCGGAGCGGCTGCAGGAGCGGGGTTGTGGTGGCGGAGGCGGCGGTGGGGTCTGTGTGTGCCGAAGAGCTGGGCTGGTGCTCGGCTGCGCTCCCGCAGCTCCTGGCCCGAGCGTGGAGGGTGCTGGGACGCTGCAAGGAGCGACTCGGGTTCCTGCCAGAGCAGAAACATCGCGGTGGGGTTTGCAGGGCTGGGCTCAGCCCCCCCCCCGGGAGCTCGTTGTGCGCGGTGCTGCAAACGGGAGGACAGCGGCGATGCCGGCAGCGCCGTCGCTCCCACCCGGGATTTTCTACCCAGTGACTCTGCAGGTCTCATGGCAGGGGGGGGCGTGGGGCCAAATCCTGCGGGGCTTGGAGGGGGGAGAGGGTGAGCCCCCCCTGTGAAGGAGGGTGTCCCGGTGGGTGCCACCGAGCCCGGGGTGCGAGGAGGGTGAGCTGAGTGCAAGGCTGAAGCTCGCCCCATTTCCGGGAAGCTGAGTCATCTGTTTGCCCATCCTGCCTGGGCCACCCCACGACCTGCGCTGGGGAGCGGTGCCACCCCCAGCCCCCAGCCCAGGGTGACGTCCCAGTGTCCCCAGAAAGCGCACTGGTGCTTTTAGGAGGTCTCCAGAGGGTTTTCAGGGTCCCTGGGCATCTCCTTTTTCAACAATTTGGTGGCAACTCGGGAGCTTGAGTCCTGTTGGGTTTGGTTGGGTTTTTCCTAATTTTTTTTTTTTTTTTTTTTTTTAAAAAAAAATAGGAACCAAAGTCTGAATTTTTTTCCTGGGGTTGGCAGAGCACCCACTGCTGGGCCATCTGCACCGGGCTGAGCAGAATGATGGAGGCGGCGTGGCAGCCCCGGGGTGGGGGGCAGCAGCTGGTCAGAAAACGGGGACCCCAGCGCACGCGCGTGTGTGTGTCCCAAAGCATCCAAAGACACCCTCTGCCTTTGGAGGGGTGTGGGGTGTGGAAACCACGCCGTGGGACCCCCACCAAGCCCAGCGTGCTGCGTTGCGCCCCGTGGTGAGCCCCGCAGCGCCCCGAAACTCGTGGTTTCTCTCCCCAGCAGCGGTGCGGCAAGCGGCTCCCCCATGGCTGCAGCCGGCGGCGAGGGGCCGGCGCGGACCCCGGTGCTGCCGGCCGGCGCTGCCCTGGCCCTGCTCGCCGGCGTGGTCTACCTGGGCGCCCTGTGTGCTGCCTGCAGACGGTACGTGCCGCCCGCCGCCCCTCTGCTTTCCCTGGGGGGGCTGGGGACAGGGCTGGGGACCCCTTGGTGGCACGCGGCGGCTGCACATGGAGTAACCCCCCCCCACACACCCACCCCCTCCATGCTGCTGCGTGCCTGTCCTGAGTTGGGATCTCTGGGCTCTGCTGCTCTGCTCACCCCCAATCCCCAAATTTGCGGCCCCGGCGTGACTCTGGGTGGTCTGATCCTGCGCCCAAAGGCCTCGCAGGAGCAGCCTGGAGAGGGCTGAGCGGGATGGGGGATGCCAAGGGGGATGCCAACGGTGCCCGGCACGGCTCAACGGGGTGCAGGATGCAACCGAGACCTCCCCCAGCCAGCACGGCCCCCCTCTGCGGGGATGGTGAAGGAGAAGGGTTGTGGGTTTTGGGGGGGTGGGGTGCTGCTGCTCCAGTGAGGGGCACCTGACAACACCCATTGTGGCCGGGTTGGGGTCCCGGGGCCACCCACTCCCCACATCGGGCTCAGCCCCGCTTCTCCCCGCAGCAAGGGCAGGAAGAAGAAGATCCCTCCAGACAGCGTGAAGCTGGTGGACAAGGTAAGTGTGTGCTGGGGGGGGGGGGGGGGCAGGATCAGCCCCGGGGGGAACTCAGCTCCCGGCCACGAGCCTGAGGGTGCGCGTTCCCCCCGTCCCGTGGCAGTCCCTGCTCCGGCAGACGCAGCTGCGGTCGCTCAGCAAGTCGGACACGAAGCTGCACGAGCTGTACCGGGTGAAGGCCAGGGATGATGGTGAGTGGCCGTGGAGCCGGGGGGGGGGGGCCGGTGGCCCTGGGTGGGTGCCCCCCAGTCCCCACACCCGCGCCGCGATGCTCCCCGCGCCCCCGGCATCCCTCCATCTCCTCTCCCCGCAGCCCAGCGGCCGGCCAGCCTGGATTTCCCTTGCCCCGTGGGCCCCCCCGCCGGTGCCGACTCCCCCCACAGCTCCAGCGTCAGCATCTTCCTGCACCGCGAGCTGCCCCGCATCCCCGAGCCCCCCGCCGCCTCCCAGGCCCCCGACCAGACCTACTCCAACCTGCTCTTCACGCCACTGCGGAAGCCGGTGCCGGACACCGTCTACGAGTGCCTGGCGGTGGGGGGGGAGGATGTCCCGGTGCCCCCCACACCCGCCGGCACCCAGGTGTCCCCGCCCCGGGCCAGGCACGGGGCGGCCGATTACGCCTGTGTCCGAAAGGTGAAGATGATGGTGCCCACGGAGGTGCAGGATGGGGCCGTGGCGGGGCCACCCGCAGCCCCACGGTGCTGGGACGGCGCAGGCAATGCCCCCCAGGCAAAGGTACAGCTCGGGGCGGGGGGGGGGCAGCAGGGATGGGACATGGGGGGGCAGGTGATGTCCTGCCTCCCTGTAACGCCTGTGCTTGGAGCGGGGTGTAAATCAGGTTACTGCGTTTCCAGTGGAGCTTTGGGGGGAGTGGGGGGCAGGATGAAGCCGAGACCCCAGGGTGCTGCTCTCTGTGCCCAGCGAAAGGCTCCCTGGGTTATGCAAAAAGCGGGATCCCCAATGTTTAATCCACTGGCAGGATCTTCCCAGGGGGCTGTGGGAAGCCGGAGGGGGGGGGAATACATGGCCGTGGGGATACCCTGCGGTGGGCAGGGATTGCCCCCGAACCCCCCCCCCCCTTTCCTTTTGCAGCTGGAAGAGATGTACTCGACGGTGTGCAAAGCCACCAAGAAGAAAACCCAGGTGACCTCATCGTCCCCGAGGGAGGTGGGTGCTGGGTGGCCGCCCCCCCGCCGCGAGGAGGGTGCCCTGGCTGGGTGCTGGCCCCCGGCAGCCCAAACCCCCCCCGACCCTTGCTACGAGTCCATCAGCGACAGAGCCTGGACTGCTCAGAGCCGCAGCCCCGACCCGGACTACGAGGCCGTGGACGTTAACTGGAAGAAGGCGGCAAAACGGGACAAGCCGCGGAAGGGCTGTGCCCCTGAGAACCTCTACGAAAGCGTCGGTGACGTTTGGGCAGGGGGGTCCCGGCGACCCTCCGCCAGGACGGCGGCCAACGGGCTGCAGGTGTACATCACCAACCTATAGCATCCTCCCTCCTTGCCCCCCCCACCCCGGGAGCGGGGTCCTCGCTGCGGGGTGGTCCCACCCCGGCTCGATGCCATCGGGGCGGGGGTCCCCCCGGGACTGTCTTTTCAGGGGGTTGAGCCCCGTGGGGACGGGCACACCCGAGCCCAGTGCCTGTGGGGCGGCTCCATCCCTGCAAGCGCTTTTTGTCTATGTGTTACTTTTCTTTAAGTGTCCCTGTCCCAGCCCAAGCAGGTTGGTGTTGGGATGCCCGGAGGGGGGCAGTTTGTAGGGGCTGGGTGCCACGTGGGAGCTCAGTGGGACGGAGCTGGCGCTGCCACCGAGATGGGAGAACCAGATTGGGACCGGTTGTGTTTTGGGGCGAGGCTGTCGGCCAGCCCTGCGGCCCTGAGCTGCGGGATCAGGCCCCTCATCAGCAGGGTTATGCCATGAGCGAGGGTCTCCATCCTCCCCCCCCCCTGCCTAGGGGAGAGCGGGACCCCGTCCAGCCCCCGAGCAGCTTCATTCCCATCACTGAATGTCACCAAGGCCAGTTATAGGGACCAGCACAGCAGCTCCGGCCGTGGCCAGGGGCCAGCCACGTGCCTCAGTACCTTTCGGACCGGTGCAAAGGCGCCTCCGTGAGCAGCCGTCTCCCAAACACCATTAAAAGGCTGAGAAGGGTTCATCCTGCTCAGGAGAACACACTTTAAAACTGGATCTAAACCCCTGATTCTGGTGGCCGCTGCTGCAGCGACGTGATGGGGCCAGGGCCGGGCACAGCGTAACCGTGGGCGGGTGCACCCATCCTGCACGGATGGTTTTGCACCTCCGAGCTGCCAGGAGCTGTTGAAATGGGGTGGGTCAGCCCGTGCCGAGAGCCACAGGGTCTGCCTGGGGTCAGGATCGGAGCTGGGGAGCGTTTGCAGGGCTCGTGCTGCCGCTCCCGCGGGTGCCGCGGCCTCGAGGGGTGCCAGAAATGCTCGGGAGAGCTGGCTCTGCACCCCGGCTTTCCTCCCCGCGGTGTGTGTGGGGGGGGTGTGTGTGGAATTTGTCATCCCTGCCCCAAGGGATGCTCCGTGTCCCCTGAGGTGACGCGCTGATGGTGACCCCAGTCCCACCTGGGTGTAGCCCAGCCCCACCTTACAGCCAGCTGGCCGCGGGCTACCTGACCTCGCGGCGAGGTGGCCCGGTGCTCGCCGGGACCCGGGGCAGCAGAGCGGCCGTGGCGGGCCGTGGGGCAGGCAGGAAGCTTTTCCCCCCCCCACCCCCCTCCACCCTCCTTACGTCACAGCAGGTGAAGAGATTAAAAACGAAAACAAGGCGCTCGGCGAAACCCGCTGAAGACGTTGAAGCCGGGAGGCAGGCCTCGTGCCGCTTCGGCAGCCTCGCGCTCGATGCCAAACCACAGCCGCTTCGAGATAGAGGAGTCGGCCCCCGGCAGCTGCTCCCATCCCCCTGCGAGATAAAGGCCCCCGATAGAAAACGGCGTGGGGCGGCTGGCGCCGATGCTGCCGCGCTCTTCCTGCTGCCACCCGTGCGTGGGCTCCCCCCCGCCCGCGTCCTGCTCCTTTTTTTTCCCCGCGTCCCACCCCGCGGCTCTCCGGGGCTGGGTCCCTCCTGCATCACCCCAACCACTGCGTTGGGACCTGAGCTGCTTCGCTCCCGGGGCAAAGATCCGTCCTGTGGGGTCAGGCTGGTGCTGGCACTGCCCACGGGGTCGGGACGTGGGTATCGCTGTGCCGCTTCCCTGGGGAAAGTCAGGCTCGGCACGGCACTGGGCTTCCCCCAGGCCAGGGGAAGCTGCTCTCGCCTGAGCTGGGGGGGTGGCCAAAGCATCTCCCAAACCTGCTCCACCAGCAGCAGAAAACGCCCCAATGTGTGTGTTCGTAATTCTGGTGCTGCCTGCGGGACTCGGGAGAGCTGGACTCGCAGATAAATAAGAGAACAACTGCCCAGTCCTCGAGAGGATGGAAAGCGTGGCCGGTGCCCCGGTTGGAGGCTCCAAAACTGGGTGGTGAATGAAGGATCCATCCCGAAACATCGCTTGGAGGATCCATCCCAAAATATTGCTTAGAGAATCCATCCCGAAACATCGCTTGGGGGATCCATCCCGAAACACTGCTTGGAGTCTCGTGGTCTGGCTGGGGAGGTCGGGGTGGGTGTCAGAGCGAGGGGAGCAGGGCTGGGAGCATCTCTCCTCGTCCCCAGGGACGGCGGGGTGCTGGGGTCCCCCGGGCTGCAGGCTCCCCGCTGCTCCCCACCAGCTGGGAGCCCACGGCAAGGCCGGGGTCCCCGTCACGCTGCGGGGGGACGGAGCTGCGGGGGGACGGAGCTGCGGGGGGACGGAGCTGCGGGGGGATGGAGCTGCGGGGGGATGGAGCTGTGGGGGGACGGAGCTGTGGGGGGACGGAGCTGCGAGGGGATGGAGCTGTGGGGGGATGGAGCTGTGGGGGGATGGAGCTGTGGGGGGACGGAGCTGCGAGGGGACGGAGCTGTGGGGGGACGGAGCTGCGGGGGGATGGAGCTGTGGGGGGACGGAGCTGCGGGGGGATGGAGCTGTGGGGGGATGGAGCTGTGGGGGGACGGAGCTGTGGGGGGACGGAGCTGCGGGGGGATGGAGCTGCGGGGGGACGGAGCTGTGGGGGGATGGAGCTGCGGGGGGACGGAGCTGTGGGGGGACGGAGCTGCGGGGGGACGGAGCTGCGAGGGGCCGGTGCTGCTCGGTGCCGTTCCCACAAGGGGGAGCGAGCAGGAGCCCGGCGCGGTGCTGCGCACCGTGCGGTGCTGTAGGGTGCTGCGCGGTGCTGCGCGGTGCTGCACTCTGTAGGGTGCTGCGCGGTGCTGCATGATGTATCGCACGCCGCCCGGTGCTGCACGCCATAGGGATCCACACCCTGTACGGCTCTGCACCCCGTACGGCTCGGCACCCCATATGATTCTGCATCCTGTATAGCTTTGCATCTCATATGGCTCTGCTCCCCATATGGCTCTGTGTCCCATATGGCTCTGTCCCCCATATGATTCTGCACCCCACATGGCTTTGCACCCCATATGGCTCTGCCCCCCATATGATTCTGCACCCCCTATAGCTTTGCATCTCATATGGCTCTGCACCCCATATGGCTCTGTGTCCCATATGATTCTGCACCCCACATGGCTTTGCACCCCATATGGCTCTGCCCCCCATATGATTCTGCACCCCCTATAGCTTTGCATCTCATATGGCTCTGCACCCCATATGGCTCTGTGTCCCATATGATTCTGCACCCCACATGGCTTTGCACCCCATATGGCTCTGCACCCCATATGATTCTGCATCCTGTATAGCTTTGCATCTCATAAGGCTCTGCACCCCATATGGCTCTGTGTCCCATATGATTCTGCACCCCACATGGCTTTGCACCCCATATGGCTCTGCACCCCATATGATTCTGCACCCCCTATAGCTTTGCATCTCAAATGACTTTGCACCCCATATGATTCTGCACCCCATATGATTCTGCACCCCCTATAGCTTTGTACCCCATATGGCTCTGCACCCAATATGATTCTGCACCCCCTGTATTGCTCTGCACCCCCTGTGGCTCTGCACCCCACACAGCTGTGCACAGCACGTGTCTCTGCACCCAAACCAGCTCCGCACCCACCCCACCTCTGCTCACCGCGTGGCTCCGCACCCCGTCCCGCTCCCCACCCGGTACGGCCCTGCACCCCTGCAGCTCTGTACCCCGCTAGCCAGCCCGGGGAGAGGGGCATCACCGCCCAGCGCCACCCCGGCACCTGGGGACCTTGGGGACATCTCCCGGGGATGCCAGCGCTGGGGTGTCACCCCAGAGCCACCCTGCCGGGGCGAGGGGTCGGGCTGGCGGCACCGGAGCCCTTGTGCAAGGGGCCGGCAACGCTCCCGGGAGTTGCACAACGCCGGAGCCGCCAGCTCGGCGTTAACGATTAAACCGGAGCGGGGGGCGGCCAGCGAAGCCACGGGTGGGTTATCAAAAACTCGGGGGGGGGGGGGCGGTGTGTGGAGGGGGGGAGAAGAGTCTTGCCGCGGGGGCTCCGTCGTTAACTCCTCCGGGGCTGCGCTAACGAGGGCCGCGGGGGCCAGAGCTGCGGGATGGGGATGAAGGCTCCTCCTCGTGTGCTCCCCCACCGCCGCCCCGCCAGCCGCCGGGGATGCTCCTGGTCCCCGGCACAGCCGCAGCAGGTTTGGGGTTCAGCGGGTGCCCCCATTCCCAAGGGGATGCCCCCCCCCCTCCCCGCCTTTTTTCGACAGGGGACCCCAGGGGTGGCCATGCCGCGGTGACACACCCCTTCTTTTGGCCGGGGTTTTCCCAGTTTGCTGGTTTTTTTGTTGTTTTTTTCTTTTTTTTTTTTTTTTTTTCCCCCCGCTTCTGGAAGCGCCTGGCCCCGGGCACAGCACAGGGTGAAGGTGACACCTCCAGCCACCCCCCCCCCCAAGGGGACAAGGGGTGTCTGAGCACCCCGAAACTCATGCCCCCCCCCGCCACGCTTGGGTCATTGCCCCCCCCCCCCCCGCCCCGCCCCAGGCAGGGGATCCCCAGGACTCTGTCCCCAGCACCCCCACAGCCCTGACCCCCAGGAATCACCCACATCGGGCAGCCCAGGGCTGCCGGCGTGGGGGGGGGGGGGGGGAACCAGACTGTGGGGTGTGGGGGGGGACAGAGCCACACGGACTCTGTCCTGGCCTTCAGGCTACGGGTTGGAAAATCAAACAGCAGCAGGGCCCGGGCGGCCCCACGCCGGCGGGACCGTGGGTTTTGGGGCAGGAGAGGAGCTGAGCATGGGTGGGCACCCAGCCTGGGCACCCCGAGCACCCCCCCCCCCCCCCCCCCCCGCTGTTCTGGGTGGCTTTTTGGCAGCGACTGACCCAACCCGTGCGGGGTTGGCGTCCCCTTTCCTGCTGGGAACCGCTCCCCTACCCCCAAAATCCAGACGATCCCCCCCCCCCCCTCCCCACGTAGCAGAAAGACACTGCGACTTTTGGGGGAGCCCTATAACTTCCAGTGGGTCTAAAACTTTCAGGGGGGAATTTTGGGAGGGGACATCTGTAAGTTGTGGGCAGTGTAAGTTTGCGGGGAGCCCCGCAACTTTTGGAGAACCCCTGTAAGTTATCAGAAGCCATATAATTTGGGGGGGGGGGGCATAACTTGTTTGGAGGGGGAAGCCCCCAAGTTCTAATGCCGCTCAGTTTCAACCCTGTAACTTTGAGGGGGCTGTGGGAGTTTTGCGGGGTCCTCCAAGCCGGCGGAAACCCGGCGCTTCCAGGGGAAACCGCTCATTCCGCCCTATGATAATAATAATAAAATCTGAACTTTTTTTTTTTTTTTTTTTTTTGGGGGGGGGGGGGGTTGGGGTGCACCTTGCAACTTTTGGGGAGCCCCCTGAGTTTGGCGGGGCGGGGGGCGACTTTGCGGGGGTGTCGGCACCAACGGGGAGGGGGGGGGGACCCGAAGCGCCGGGCGAAGGGGCGGTGGAGAGAAAGGGGGGGTGGCGTGGGGGAGGTGTTGGTTTTTGGGGGGGGGGGGCCCCGGCGGGGCGGGGCGCGCGAAGATGGCCGCTGCCGGCGGGGGCGTGTCGCGGCGGGGGCGTGTCGCGACGGGGGAGGGAGGGAGGAGGGGGGAGAGGGGCGGGGAAACGGGGGAGGGGGGCGTGCCGCCGCGCGGAAAAGTGGCAGCGCGGCGCAGCCAATGGGGAGCGGGGAAAACGGCGGCCGCGTTCCGACCCGGCGGCGCCGACCAATGGCGGTAGGCGCGGGGAGGGGAAGGGGGGCGTGGCCTGGCCGGCGCCGACACCGCGCGCTCCCCCTCCTCCCTCCCCGCCCCCCCCCCCCCCCCCCCCCTCCCCGCGCCGGGCCCGGCCGCGGCCGCCGCCGCCGTTTCCCTCATGGAGCCCCCGCGCCCGCCCGCCGCCCTGCTCGCCGCCGCCCGCCGCCGCCGCCGCCACCCCCCGCCGCCTCCTCCCCCAGAGCCCGGCGGCGGCGGCGGCGGCGGCGGCACCGGCACCGCCCCGAAGGTACCGGGGGAGGCGGCGGCGGCGACCGGGGTGGGGTGGGGTGTGTGGGGGGGGGGGGGGGGAACGGGGGAACGGGCGGAGGGGGGGGACGGGGTGGGGGGGGGGACGACGGGAACGGGAAGCGGGGGGGGGGGCGGGGGGGCGGTGACAGCTGACAGCGGCCCGCCCGAAACTTTCCCCGCCGCTAAAATGGCGCCGCTCGGGGACAAACTTCGGGGGGGGGGGGGGGGGGGGGGGCGTGGGTGGGAGGGGGGCACACACACCCACACCCACACCCACACCCCCCCCCCGCCGCCAGCACCCACCCCCGCCCCGCGGCGGGCTCTGCCGGGATCTCCGCGATCTGCCCGGACCGAGGGATCCCCCCCCCCCAACCCCCGCGCTGTGCCGGGAGATCCCCGGTGCGAACCCGGTTTGGCCGAGCTGGGGGGGCGGGATCCGGCGGGATCCCGGAGTGTGGGGGGGGGGGGGGGGGGGGGGCGGAATCCACTCCCTGTGCTCACCGAGGGGCTGGGGGATCTGTCCCGCAACCAGGGGGGGATCCGCTCCGTGCCGGCGCTGGCCGAAGCGCTGAGGGGGATCCCGGTGGGATCCTCAGCCTTGGGGAAGCCACTCGGGATCTACCCCCGAGAGGGATCCGCTCAGCCGGCCCGTGGGCGCTGCTGTCTCGGGGCAGCCCGGCTCGGCCGAGCTGCAGCGGTGGGGGGGCCGGGGGGGGTGGGGGATTCCTGCTGGATCCCAGCTCTGCCCCAAAGGATCTGCTTGGGGTCTGCCTGGAAAGGGGATCTGCTGAGTGCCGGTGCGTGGGCAGGCAGCACTGCCGTCCCGGAGCAGCCCCGTCTGCTGCTGCAGAGCTTAAGGGGATCCCTGCGGGATCCCAGCCCGACTCAGTGGGACCTGCTTGTGATCCCTGGAGAGGATCTGCTCAGTGCTGCTCAGGATCGCCCAGCCCGGAGAGGGATCTGCTCAGGGCTGCCACGCAGCCAGATGACAGTGATCTCTTGGAGCAGACCCTGTCCTCTCCCGGCTCAGCAGAGCTCCAGAGGGATCCCAGCCCTTTGGGATTTTCCAGGAATCTGCCCTGGAGGGATCTGCCTGGTGCTGATGGGCGGCCAATGGATGCGGCTGCCCTGAGGAACGCACCGGGTCTGCTCCTTCCTCTGCAAGGCTCCAGGGAGATCCCGGTGGGATCTGAGCCCTGGGTGATCTGCCCGGGCACAGCTTGCAGAGGGATCCACCTGGTGACAGAGTGTGGCCAGCGAGCGCCGCAGACCCGGGTCAGGCCTGCGGGAAGAGCTGCTCCCCGCTTCCCGGGGGGGGATCCCTGCAGGGTCCCAGCCCCAGCGAGATCACTTGGGATCCACCTGGAGCGGGATCTACTTGGTGCCAGTGCCCAGTCAGTGGGTGCTGCTGCCTCCGATGGGCCTGGCAGGGCCAAGCCTGCTCCCTGCTCTTGGGGATCCCCGCTGGATCCCGGGTGATCTGCTCAGAGAGGGATCCCCTTGGTGCTGTCACGTGGCGGGGGGGGGGGGGGCTGCCACCTTGGAGCCACCCCGCAGGAGGCTTGGCAGGTCTTCTGCTGGCTCTGCCGAGATCCCCGGGGATCCACCTGGGGAGGGATCCGCTGGCTGGCGGGTGACCAGCGCTGGGAGCCGCCTCGCCGGAGGGTGCTGGCTGCTTTCCCCCCCCCCCCCCCGGGGAAACCCCCAGCTGCGACGGGGCGGGATCCCCTTGGGATCCACCCCGAAGTGGACGCAGTGAACAGGCTCGCCGGGGTCGTGCCGTCAGCCCTGCCGGGAGGTGCCGCGCCGAGGTCGGGGCGGGGGGGATCCCCGCGGGATCTCCGCTGCTCGAAGCAGGGAGGGGCGGGGGGGGGGATCCTTCTCCCCGGTGACGCCCGCCGTCTCTCCCGCAGGCCGCTCTCCCCGAGGGCTGGCTACCACGCCTGGGCGAGCCGTTGCCGCGCCGGGAGCCGGCCAGCCGGGAAGCGATGCTGCGGGTGCTGGACGCCGGGCTGGAACGCTGCCTGGCGCTGCATTCGGCTTACATCCCCGTGCCCCGGCACAGGTAGGACCACGGCGGGCGGCAACCGAAACCTCCCGCCGGCAGTGGGAAGCCGGGATTTGGGGGGTGTGGGGTTTTTTTTAACCACCGGCTGCGAGGGGAGGACTTTGGCCGCTCGGCCGAAGCGCCCGGGGTCTCTGGCTGTGACCGGTGGCACCCAGGGCTCTGCCCGCTCGCGGCCCTGGTGGGTGAGGAGGTGCCGTATCACGAGCCCTCGAGCGGTCGCGGTGCTCAGCACCGCTGAGGCTTGGCCTCCAGCACCGCGGCCGCTCGCGGGCTCGGAGAGCATCGCCGCTCGCCAGCGCCGGATTTATCCCCTCGGCGGCGCGGGAGGTTTGCAAGATGGCTTCTGTTGCTCCTGACCTCTCGCTTTATTTTTAATTTTAATTTCATTCTTTTGTTTATGGGTTTGTTAGTTTGTGGTTTTTTGTTTTGGTTTTTTTTTTTTGTCATTTTTTTCTTTTTTTTTTTTTTTTTTTTCCCCCCTCCCACTTCAGAAAGTTGTTTGACCCCCAGCTGAGCAAACCCCCACGTTTCTCAGCAGGTTGTAGGTGCCCTCTGGCATGGTGCTGCCCATGGACACGTAGGGTTCCCCCCACCCTTACCCCCCCACACACCCCACCCCCAGGGGTGGTAACCGTTTTGGCTGGCTGCCTGCACCCCTGGGGTTTCCAATCTGGCTGCTGGGATGACGCCCAAGCACCTCAGGGTGCTGCAGGTGACGGGGCACCCCCGGGTGCCTTTGCCCGTGGGGATGTCCCCAGCATAACGTGGCCACCGTGACCTTGTGCCACTCATTTCCCCGTCCCCCCCCCCACCAACAAGCCACCCCTGGGGTGTGTGCAGACCCCGTCGCCGTGACGTCCCAGCACCTCGGTGGGTGATGGAGGGAGATGAAGGGTCCCGGGGCGGGGAGGGGGGGGGGTCTTTGTCTCCTCGCCATCCCGGCACCTCGGTGGGTGATGGAGGGAGATGAAGGGTCCCGGGGTGGGTGGGGGGGTCCTTGTCTCCTCACCGCAGCCCCCCCCGCGCTCTGCTCTCGCCGGCAGGAAGCTCTCGGGCAAGGCGGGCATCGACGAGGTGATGGCGGCCACGGTGCTCACCAGCCTCTCCACCAGCTCGCTGGTGCTCAGTCACCCGCCGGCCACCCCCGCCCCAGGTAAAAGCGTGTCCCTCTGTGTGTGTGTGTGTGTCCCCTCCCGCCGCCACCCTCCCTGGAGACGTGTCCCGTGGCAGGATCTGACCTTCCTCCTCTTCTTCCTCCTCCTCGCCAGAGCCCGGAGGTGAGGTCTGGAAGGAGGCGCCCGCCATGTCCTCCAGCTGCAGCAGCAGCAGCAACACCAGCGGGGACTGGAGCTGGGACCCCCCCAGCGACCGCTCCACCCCCTCCACCCCGTCGCCCCCACTCTCCAGCCACGTCCCCAGCACCTTCCTGCCCGCCCCGCTGCTGGACGAGGGCCCCGACGAGCCCGACGGCACCCACTTTGTCTTCGGAGAGCCCATCCCGCGGAAGAGGAAGGTGGGATGGGGGCTGAGGTTGAGGATCGTGGTGGGGATGACGATGGGAGGGAGGTTTTGGGGTGGGGGGATGATGGTGGGGTTGGGAACGGTGAGGGGGATGATGTTGAGGGTGGAGATGACAATGGGGTTGTGGATGAGGTTGGGGGATGACAGTGAGGTTGGGGATGGGGATGACAATGGGGTTGGGGGATGGGGATGACAGTGAGGTTGGGGATGGGGATGACAATGGGGTTGGGGATGGGGATGACAATGGGATTGGGGATGACAATGGGGTTGGGGATGGGGATGACAATGTGGTTAGGGATGGGGATGACAGTGAGGTTGGGGATGGGGATGACAATGGGATTGGGGATGACAATGGGGTTGGGGATGGGGATGACAATGTGGTTAGGGATGGGGATGACAGTGGGGTTGGGGTTGGGGATGACAATGGGGTTGGGGATGGGGATGACAGTGGGGTTGGGGATGGGGATGACAGTGGGGTTGGGGATGGGGATGACAATGAGGTTGGGGATGGGGATGACAGTGGGGTTGGGGATGACAATGAGGTTGAGGATGGGGTTGAGGATGACAATAAAGTTGGGGATGGGGTTGAGGATGAAGTTGAGGATGACGATGGGGTTGGGGATGGGGATGACAATGGGGTTGGGGATGGGGATGACAATGGGGTTGGGGATGGGGATGACAGTGGGGTTGGGGATGACAAAGGGGTTGGGGATGGGGATGACAAAGGGGTTGGGGATGGGGATGACAATGGGGTTGGGGATGGGGATGACAATGAGGTTGGGGATGGGGATGACAATGGGGTTGGGGATGGGGATGACAGTGGGGTTGGGGATGGGGATGACAATGTGGTTGGGGATGGGGATGACAGTGGGGTTGGGGATGGGGATGACAGTGGGGTTGGGGATGGGGATGACAGTGGGGTTGGGGATGGGGATGACAGTGGGGTTGGGGATGGGGATGACAATGGGGTTGGGGATGGGGATGACAATGGGGTTGGGGATGGGGATGACAGTGGGGTTGGGGATGACAAAGGAGTTGGGGATGGGGATGACAATGGGGTTGGGGATGGGGATGACAGTGGGGTTGGGGATGGGGATGACAATGGGGTTGGGGTTGGGGATGACAATGGGGTTGGGGATGGGGATGACAATGGGGTTGGGGATGGGGATGACAGTGGGGTTGGGGATGACAAAGGAGTTGGGGATGGGGATGACAATGGGGTTGGGGATGGGGATGACAGTGGGGTTGGGGATGGGGATGACAATGGGGTTGGGGTTGGGGATGACAATGGGGTTGGGGATGGGGTTGAGGATGAGGTTCAGGATGGGGTTGAGGATGACAATAAAGTTGGGGATGGGGTTGAGGATGAAGTTGAGGATGACAATGAGGTTGGGGATGGGGATGACAATGGGGTTGGGGATGGGGATGACAATGGGGTTGGGGTTGGGGATGGGGATGACAATGAGGTTGGGGATGACAATGGGGTTGGGGATGGGGATGACAATGGGGTTGGGGATGGGGATGACAGTGGGGTTGGGGATGGGGATGACAGTGGGGTTGGGGATGGGGATGACAGTGGGGTTGGGGATGGGGATGACAATGAGGTTGGGGATGGGGATGACAATGGGGTTGGGGATGAGGATGACAATGGGGTTGGGGATGGGGATGACAATGGGGTTGGGGTTGAGGATGAGGTTGAGGATGACAATAAAGTTGGGGATAGGGTTGAGGATGAAGTTGAGGATGACAATGGGGTTGGGGATGGGGATGACAATGGGGTTGGGGATGGGGATGACAATGAGGTTGGGGTTGGGGATGACAATGAGGTTGGGGTTGGGGATGACAATGGGGTTGAGGATGAAGTTGGGTATGACAGTGGGGTTTGGGATCAGGTTGAGGATGACAATGGAGTTGGGGCTGATGATGGGGATGGGGATGACAATGGTGGATGACGTTGGGGACGGAGACGGAGCTGCCGGCCTGACACCTCTCACCTGCAGAACTCCACCAAGGTGATGTTCAAGTGCTTGTGGAAGAGCTGCGGCAAAGTCCTCAGCAGCTCCTCAGGGATGCAGAAGCACATCCGAACCGTGCACCTTGGGTAAGCACATGGGGTCCCCCCCCGGACACCCCCAAACCGCCCCCCCACGGTGTCCCCGGTCCTGCCGTGGGAGGGGGGAGTGCTGCCCCAGCCGGACCCCGCTCTCCCCGCAGCCGGAAAGCCGACCTCGAGCAGAGCGACGGCGAGGAGGACTTCTACTACACGGAGCTGGACGTAGACGTGGACTCGCTGACGGACGGGCTCTCCAGCCTGACGCCCGTGTCACCCACCTCCTCGGTGCCACCCGCCTTCCCCGGCCCCGAGGCGCAGGCTCCGGTGCCGCCGGCGCTGCCGAGCCCCGACCTGACCTTCTTGGCCTCCCCCCCGGCCCCCCCCCGGCCTCTGCCACGTCCACACCGACCACGCGTACCAGGTGAGGAATTCGGGGGGGCGGGGGGGTGGGGGCTGCTGCTGTGCACGGATGTGTGTGTGCGCGTGTGTCCCCCTCAAATAACTGCCACCCCCCGGCCTCCCCAGCCGCTCGGGGCCGATGTGGTGGCCGGGCTGTGACGCGGATCTGTCTCTTCTCTTCCCCCCCACCCCTCTCCCCGACTCCCCCCCCCCCCCCATCTCCCTCCCAGGGCTGCCCGGTCCCACCGCTGCCCCCCTCCGCGCCCGCCCCGCCGCCCCCCAAACCGCCCGCCGTCCCCAGGTGAGCCATCATCCCCAGCCCCTCGCGTCCAGCTCCGGGATTTGGGGGGGGGGGGTTTGGGGTGTGTGTATGTGTGTCCCCCACGCCGTGACCTCTGTGCGTGTCCACGTGTGTGTGTGTGTGTGTCCCCCCCCCCCCCGCAGGAGGCCGCGGGGGGAGGCCAAGAAGTGCCGCAAGGTGTACGGCATGGAGAACCGGGAGATGTGGTGCACGGCCTGCCGCTGGAAGAAGGCCTGCCAGCGCTTCCTCGACTGACGCCGGGGCCGCGCTCCCTCCTTCTTGCACATTTTGCACTCGAGGTGCCTTCGCGCCCCCCCCCCCCCCCCCAACCCTCACTACCCCCTCTCCCTTCACCCCCTCCCCACCCCGGGGGCCCCCCAAGACTCAGGGAACGGCCCCCCCCCCCCCCCCCCTTCCCATTCCCCCCCCCCAAAGCTTTATGCACACCACGGAGAGCTTATCCCCTCCTTTTTTTTCCTTTTGAAAATAAGCTAAATCTGCCCCCCCCCTCCTTGCCTCCCTGCTCCCCCCCCCCCTTTTTGGTGACACTGCGGTGGGGGCTGGAGGGGGGGCAGCTGGCTGCTCCCAGCCCCCCCCTCCCCGTGCCTGCTTTGGGACCCCCCCCACCCCCAAACCAGCGGTGCGGGGGCTCGGGAAAGGAGGGGGGTGTCCGTTCCTACCCCCGCTCCCGGGGGGGGGGGACCCCCAGTGCCCAGGGCAGAGGTGGGCGCCTGCCCCCAACACCCCCCCCCCCCAAGGGGGTTTTTACTCTTTGTATCGTTGTTTCTCTCTATTTTTCCTATGGGGGAGCAGCGGCTCCCGCCGGGGCGATGCTCCGGGAAGTGCCTGCAGGAATGCGCCCATTTGCACTAAACCAAACTGCACAAAGAGGTTTCTTTTTTTTTTTTTTTTTTTTTTTTTCCCCCCCCTTTTCCCCTCCCTTTTTTATTTTTTTTTGTAATTTTTTGGTTTTTTCCCCCTTCTCCCCCCACCCCCTCCCCCTTTCCCTATTCCTTCGTGTGTTTTTATTTTTTAAATAAAATATATGAAAATTCGTATTTTTAAATACTCCCTCCCAGGGCAGGAGAGCGCACTGGCCGTGGTGCTGCCTCCAGCCCTGGAGGGGTTTTTAAGGGGCTTTATTCCCTTCAAAACCCTTTTCCCCCCCTCCCCAAACCCCTTTTTTTCCACTCCCCCCCCCCCCCCCCCCCCATCCCCTCACTCACCTGCCCGGGCAGCGGCTCAGGCCACGCTGCCCCCCGCCCCGCTCCCCCCATGGATGGGTGGGGTGGGGACGGGGTGGGTGCGTGGCACCCGGGGCCGGGCCAGGGCAGGTTCCCCCCCACCCCCCGCCACGCAGGAGGGGTCCCCTTGAATCGGGGACCCCCCCTCTCGCAGGGACACCCCCCCCCCCCCCCCCCCTCCTCTTTCACAGGGGGTCAGACCGCTTTGGCCCCGGGGGCCAGGACGGTGCCGTGCCAGGCTGGGCCCCCCCCCATCCCCTGTCCCCGCTGCGGCGCCGCCGGGGAGGTGATGTGTCAGATCCAGAAGAAAAAAGGAAAAAAACAAAAAACAAAAAAACAAAAAAAAAAAAACAAAAAAAAACCAAAAACAAAACAAAGAAAAATAAATATTTGGATTCTTTTTTTTTATTAATTACTACTGTTCATTGCTTTTACGAGGGGCCTCGCGCTGCCGGGTGGGCAGCCCCAGAGCTGGTGCTGTGGGGGTGTGTCCCCCCGCCTTGCATCTCCCAGCGCCCCGGAGCTGCACTAAAGGGATTTTTTTTCTTAAAAAAAGCCTTAAAAATAAGGAAATTGCCACCAATGCTTACACAGCGGGGCGGGGGGGGGGGGGGGATGAGCCCCGGGAGCCTGTTTGGGGTGGGCAGGGGAAGGGGGGAGGCAGCAGCACCCCCAGCCTGGGGGGATTTTGGGGAGCTGGGGGGGGGGGTGCAGGGTCCGGCTGTACCGTCACATGAGGAGGAGAAAAAAAAATAGTAAAAAAAATAGTACTTAAACACACAAACAAAAAACCCCCAAAAAAGACAGACAAATTTTAGCAGCAATTTCCCAATTTATTGAAACTGATTGATTTTTGCAAGTATGTCTAAGCTAAATCCCATCACAAAGTAATTATAATGAAGAGGCACGCCTCCGGCATGCCCAGGCAGACAAAAACTGGGAGATCAACTAGAAAATAAGGTCATATTTACCTGAACTACATTTACAGAAAATCAGTACAACACAGCCATGTTCTCCCACTGACTTCTGGTTACTAAAATCTCCTCAACCTCCCCAAAATATTAAACACATCTTCAATACAAACACAGGTTTATAATAATTAATATAAAGTCAGTATAATATAGAATATTCCCAGCAAAAAAAAAAAAATAATCAACGATCTTCAAACACTGTCCTTTTTTTTTTTTTTTTTTTTTTTTTTTTCATTTGTTTAGCTTTGTTTTTGTAGACAGGTTTAAAGCACGTTGAAAAATAAATATATATGAAAGCATACACACAGCACTCTTACTATGCGGAACTAAAAAAGGCAGAAGTTCAAAACACAATATAGAATCTAAAAAATAAAAAGAACCATTAAGTATGGCTTTCTCAGGAGTTGCACATGTCACAGAATGAGCTAAAATAAGATTATCTTTCATAATATTGCAAAAAATTCCAGTTTTTGCATTATTTTCATGGAGTTTCTTTCCTAAAGGGCGATGTGCAAAATGGGAAGCATCGAGGCCGGGGGGGGGGGGGGGGGCTCGGGATTCCCTCGGGGGGGACACACGGAGCCCCCACCCAAGTCATCGATCCCAAACCACACCGAAGCCCCAAAGCACCGTGGCTTTCGCTTTGGAAAAGCAGAGCAGTTAAAGGCAGGAGGCGCGAGAAGAAACAGATCCGACGCTAGAGCGGGTTTCCTTTCACACGAAAAATATTCCTTTTGTAGTCCAAAACACTGATTTTTGATTAATTAAAAAAAAAAAAAAAAGAAAAAGGACAGTCACTTTGCAAAGTTTCGTTAAGACACCTCCCCCTCTCACCTCCCCACAGCCAGGCTTCAGGGCGACCTGGAATACACACGACTGGGTGATTTATTTTTTTAAATAAAACGTTTGGAAATAACGGGTTGACAGGCGGCCACGCAACAACCTCGTTTGTCTTCGTCGTCTGAGATTTTCTCCGAGCGCACCCCCCGAATTCCGGGGGGGTGGGTGGGTTTTTCTGGGGGGCGAGGGCAGGAGGATGCCGTCTGCACCCTGCTCTGCGCGGGGCGGTCGCAAAGTGCAGCTCGAAACGCTCTTTGTGCTGCTGGCACGCTTTCAGAGTTTCAAAAAAAATAAATGAGGATAATGAAGAAATCCAGGGAGGGACATTCGTAAGTATGTATGAATACTTAAAAAAAAAAAAAAATTAGTTGCAAGCTATCGAGAGCAAGTGAATCGATTTTTCACCGATATTTTTTTTGAAACTAAATCTGTATATATATACACACGCACATATATATATATATATATATATTTAGAAAAAATTAAAAAAAGGGAACCTCAGTGAAGTATACAAAGCCCTGAAGGGAAATACAAAGATGAGATGCTAGAGGTCACTGGAGCTAGTGTGGGTAGGACAGGCAGAACTGGTGGGGTTTTAAATCTCAAAGAGCAGGAGGGGTTTGCATAGGCAGTAGATCCCGCCGCGCCCCAGGGGGCCGGTCGGTCGCACGGAGCAACTGCTGAAGTTTGATAAAGTTTCAGCGTTAAAAAAAAAAAAAAAGCCCCGATTGCTTTTTTCCAACGCAAGCCTCACAGAGCGCCCGCCGGAGCGTGGAAGTTCAAAGACCAGTTCCTCTATTCCCAAATCTGCACACCTCCATCCAAACAAAGCACTTAAAATATACATCAGGTGTTAGAAGGGTTTTATTTGGTATATATAGTGTACGTTAGTAATATAGAAGCATGTGCTAGATTATAATGGTAACATTGTAAAAGTTGGCTTTTACATGGATTTTTTTTTTTTCCATTTTTCTCTCCTTTTTTTTTTTTTTTTTAATTTATTTTTTTGCATCCTCAGCTCAAAGAGCTTCAAAGTGGCACGACTAAGAAACAGTTCTGAAAGCCACCTGGCTTACTGCCCTCCCTTTAAAAAAAAAAAAAAAAAGGAAAGAAAAGGAAAAAAAAAATTTTTCCAAAGGAATTGCAAAGTAAAGCTAAGCACCCCATAACTCTGATTACAAAAATCGAGTCACCCGAAGGTGAGGGCAGGGAGGAGCGAGGAAGAGGAGGACTTGGACCAACATCTCCTGCTCCTCCCTGGAAGGTACGACAGCGGATGGAGACGGAATGTCACAGAAACCGAGGGGTTTTCAACAGTTTGGATTTAAAATTTTTTTTTTAAATAGATTTTTACATACAAAAAGCAAAGCTACAGATATCTTTTTAAGTACTGTATGTATTTGTCTACATGTAACAGGTGAGGCTGCGAGTTCAGGACCTCAGACACCCCCTAACCCCCCCCTCCATATTTACAGGATAAATGACAATAAATACAGAGCCTGCGCTCCGAGAGGCAAAAATCAGGGTAACGAAACAGCGACCTCGCCCTGGGACCCCCCCGCAGCCCCTATGACTGCTGGAAAAAAAAAAAAAAAAACAAAAAAAAAACCAAAAATACAAAGGTCCGAGCGTACAAACGCTGGGTTTAAGTCTTTTTAAATACGGTAGGAGGGCTTTACAAGAAGCTAGAATGTAAAATCAGATTTTTACAGTTTGATAAAAACGTTTCTGCGTGACCCTGGTGTTCTCGAAGCGTCGGAAGAAGAGGGTTATCCACCCCCGCTGGCTAAAAGCAACAAAGAAGCCCCCCCCCCCTTTGCTCCTTTGAGCCCGAGGGGCGCCGGCCTGGCCCCCCCCCCCCCCCCCCGAGCCGGACAGCGGGTTTTGGGAAAGACTCAGGTTTCCAACTGGCGGGGGGGCACCCAGAGGGAAGGACCCCGGGGCCGGGAGCTGCCGGAGGCTCCCAGGGAAGGGGACGGTCACCCCCCACGGGGGCCGGTGCAGGCGGCGGCCGGAGCTCGCCGGGAACTGGGGAGC